TGATTGAAAGCTGACTTTTCTTCCTCATGTTTTATATCTGAGGAAGAAGTTATGAGCAAACACTCGGGCACTGAGTGTGACTCTTTGCTTTAAATATATAGAGTGCTTATATGATCTAGACTGGACTATGGCTCAGTTGTTTATGGATCTGCTCAGTCTTCCGTTTTGTTAAAACTAGATCCTGTGCTTGATCAGGCTCTGCATATTAGTTCTGGAACCTTCAGGACATACCCTTTCCAGAGTCTGTTTGTTGTCTTATATGAAACATCGCTGCAGGCAAGACATGAGTAGTTTCTCTTCACTATTATTTCAGTATATTATCCCAGCCACAACATCCTTGTAAAATGTCCTTGCTTGGTGACATGTGTGATCTTTTATTTGAAGGTAGACCATCTTGTGTGCCTTCTTTCTCTCATAGGGTTTGCTCCATGATCCCAGAATTTCATATCCCTGATGTGTCCATTCAAGTAGACAGCACTTTGAAATACCACCTTGGGAGAATGCACAAACCAAATTTCTAGATGTCTTCCATCATCACAAGAAGAGAAACACTAATGAGATGTATACAAACAGATTTTTTTTGGAGCACAGACATAAATATGGCAGTTACACTCTTCTACACTCATGTCCATAAATTAAGGATAATGCAAAATCAGGCAAAGGAAGAGTTAGAAGCAAAACAAATTTGACTTATTTGTAAAGCTTATTTATTAAACAAAAGGTAAAGAGCAAAAAAAGATGCTATATGTTTGATATTATTAAAAAAATTAGCGATTTTTTCTACCTGGAGAAAATTACAAAAAAAAAAAAAAACCTATATACAAAAAACCAATATTACATGGTTGGTATGATTGTTAATACATTGTATGTCTCCCAGACGATGCAATACAGTCCGTACAACGCCTAGGCATGCTGAGTATCAAAGTATCGATCTGATCTTGGGGGGAAATTACACCACTCAAAAAGCAATGCTCTCCGAAGTTCCGGTAGACATGTAGGAGGAGGTTGATGGGCTGCAACTCGTCGGCCAAGCATGTCCCACACGTGCTCTACTGGATTCAAGTCCGGTGAGAATGCTGGCCAGTTCATACGGGTGATATCCTCCGATTGAAGGCATTCGCTTACGATGTTTGCATGGTGAGGACGGGCGTTGTCATCCATAAACACAAATTGTGGGCCCATGGCGCCCCGAAACAAATGTACATGTTGTTCCAGAATGACGTCCCGATAGATTTGGCTTGTCATGGTTCCAATTTGAACATGCAGGTCAGTTCTGGAACCCAGAATAATTCCACCCCAAACGAGCACTCCTGCTCCACCATAACGGTGTCGTTCAGTGATATTTTCTTGGTGGTAACGGCTACCTGGAGCTCTCCATATGAAAGTCCGGCGAGAATCAGACTGCAAGCTAAACCTGGACTCGTCGGAAAACATCACACAAGCCCACTGTTGCGGTGTCCACAATGCATGCTCTCTACTCCAGGCTAACTGCAGGCAACAGTGAGTTGCAGTAAGTGGAACACATCTGACAAGTCTACGAACATATAGACCAATCTGCCCTAAGCATCTGTATACGGTCTGCCTTGAAATTGTCGTACCAGTGTCTGAAGAGAGTTGATGAGACAGGTCTGAGGCTGTGCTCCGCCTGTTTCTTTTGTCAGTAACTGCCAAATACCGGTCCTCATTCGGCGTTGTAACTCTGGGGCGACCTATGCTGTAACGTCTACTCACATTACCATCATCTTGGAATCGTTGCCAAAGCCTGGAGATGACACTCTGAGCAATTCCAAGTTCGTCTGATACTTCCAGTTGGGTACGCCCACATTCCAGACGGCCGATAATTCTACCACGTAAAAAATCATCCAAATGCTTCCTTTGTGTCATAACTATTCGGTTATTGTACTGAAATGCTTATAAAGTGCCTGCAAACAATTTTACTTCTTTGCCTGTATTCCTTATACATCACTCTCTTACACTCTCGTCATTGTGACGTACGATTGGTGTCATTTGGTTACTTCTTGAAATTTGCATATGATTCTTGAAGATGTGTGTAGTGATTTTACAGGTGATATATTTATTTTAGAGTTCAATTTCCGCGTGACTCGGAATTATCCTTAATTTATGGACATGAGTGTATATACTGATGGTTCAAAAATAACTGGCCATGTTGGGGCAGCATTTGTAACAGGTGACAACATGCAGGACAGATGCTTACATGACTATCTCTCTGTCCTAAAATCTGAATGAACTGCCATATACTATGCACTTACCTTCATATCTAACTTCAAATTTATTATTTATACCAACTTGTTTAGTGCACTAAAAGCCTCAAGAATATTCTGTGATACAAAGAATCTAGTACTTGTTTAAATCCTAAGGTTAAATTTAAATTTAAGGAGCTGTGGTTATTGTATTCTTTACTTCTGGGTTCCTGGACATGTGGGCATTAAAGGGAATGAGTAGATAGCAGAATAGCAGTATTAGCAGATATCGCAGCAAAGTCTGCTGTTGAACTATCTAGCTCACTTGTCCCTTTGAGAGATATCAACATCATCATCAAGCAGAAGATTCTGACTAAATGGCAGTGACTTTGGGACTCTTGAATAAATAATAAATTGAGAGGGATAAAACCAAAAGTAGAATTATGGGAGGCTAATAGAAATGAAAGGGAGAAGGTTCTTTTAACTCTTCTTAGAATCGTTTATTCTTGTGCTTCACATAATTATTTTTTGAAACCCAAAAGTGAGCCCATTTGCTCAAAGTGCCCATCTATGGGTGCATGACATTTAAGAAGAATGTATATATTTTAAAACTCTTTTATTAAAATATTTTAATAGCTCTGACTTCTTGACTATTTAATCCGAAAAGAGGTCAGTTTGAATTTATTTCAATATTTGTGAGAAACTGGCTTTTGCTATTTAATTTTATAGGTTTTTAATTGCTTAATTTATTTTTATGTCTTATTTATATTGAGATTTTACCTCGTTGTAAATTTAAATTTATCACATGAATTTGTTTTAAGTTAGTGTAATATGACCATGCATCATAACCTTTCAGGTTATGCACCATTAATCACATCATTCATCTATCCATTTATCAACATTCATCCATCTGAAAAACTGCAGTCATTAATGACAAACCCCTGAAGAGGGTTTCAGCCCCCTTCCCATTAGAAATGAGTTTAAACCTTCTGTTATATTTCAAAGTGGAAAAGTTACATGCTGCCTTTAACTCCCAGGAAACTTCTTCAAAACGCTCAATTAAGACAACCCACAAAGCTTCTTCCATTGGAAGCAAACAGTTTATCTATAGAACATGATGCTTCTGACCTTTTCAGGCAAGATCAAACATCCTTCATCAAGTGTAATTGAGAAAAAAGATATAAAAACTGTTTTTCTTCGATGTCCAACACTGACCATCAGCAAGTCAAGGGCTCTACTTTCCTATTCCCCTCAGTTCAGCTGTTAGAAGAAGACTCTCTCTGCCTACAATCTTCTCCTAATTCTCTATTCTGAGAATCTACAAGAGTGGAAAAAAAATACATGCTTTTACTTCCAAAACATATTAAAATTTTAATTGAACTTTTATTAATTAACTTTAAACTCCTTAATAAATTAAAATTTTGTGCATAGGAAATAAATTCCTTAATACTATATTAATAGTATAAAGTAGTAAAGTTAATGATAACTTTTTTAACAACAAATTTCTTCTCATTACAAAGTATTTGAATGCAAGCAAGAAATTTTCTGTTGACAGATCTGCTATTACTGCACAAGTAAACCATAAAATTTACCTTATAGTTTGGCGTATACGCACACCTATAATTTCAAATTACATTTTTTAGTTTTTAGGTATACTTGCTGTGTAATGCACCCTTTTCTTGATGAAGAAACCTGAATGATACTTGAGCAAATCTTTTATCTTTTGAAGTCATTCATTTGAAGATTTTCCTCAGGCTTTCGAACCGTGGTATACTGAATTGACAAAGCAACAAGGGGAACAGTATGTGTGTAGGATGCTTGAGGGAGTAAATAATTCTGCAAAGAGGGTGCATTGTATTAAATGTGGGTGTGCACAAGAATGTTATTATAATGATAGCAAGAAATGAATCACAGACCACAGAAAGACTTTGTTAATTTGCTAATGTTTTCATAGGTGTTTTTGTAAACAACCTAAAAAATTCAAATTAAAATTTTAAAAATAAAAGCTCATTATTCTAATAACCATTCACCATTATAAATAGAAAAACAAAATTAAAAGCTAGTATGTAGTGTATTTTGAAAATACTGCTTTCACCAATAGTGCAAGTCATGAAATTTGATAAATATTGATATACAGAATATATGAAGTAACTTTATAAAGTACATTTATAATGGACCTTTAATGGTCAGCTTTTTATAATTTAGAAGCTGCTATTTGTTTTATCATCTGTTCTGTTCCTGTCAAATGTTTTGACAGTTTTTAGATAAAAACAGTGTGACGGACGATTCTCATCTTTGATGGAACGTTCATTTAAAATTACAGAACTTTCTGTTTTCAAGAGAATTAATCTTCTGGTAAATTAACTACGGAAGTGTGTTAAAGCTCTTGTGCGGTTTCCTTGCGAACTATCACAGAGTGTCCGCTAAATGACCGGAAAGGTAATCAACAAAAATAAGTCATAAGAATGACCCCCGCCCTGTGCGGTTCCTTGCGACAATAATGTAAAAGGAAAGAAAGAGGTTTTTTTTGTGTGGAATTATGCTTAGAGAGATGCTGTAGGTAAGTCACACCATGCAATGGAGCCACATCATGCGGAAGTTTTGTATAATATTATTGGCTGTATTGTATTGGTGATTTACTTTTTATTAATCAAGAAATCTATTAAGTTTTAAAATAAATATTTAAAAGACCTCTGGTCTGCTTATTCATCCATCTTAGATGTTCTTATGCTACAACAGCATTTATGTTTTGTTTGTTTTTTAGATAAAAAATGCATTTATGTTTTGTTTGTTTTTTAGATAAAAAATTATGATACTCTTGTTGAACCTCCATCTGATTCAATCAAAGAAATGTTAAACAAACTTGTAGTAGTGAAATTAAATGGTGGTCTTGGAACAAGTATGGGATGCACTGGTCCAAAATCCATCATTCCAGTCAGAAATGATCTGACATTTTTAGATCTTACTGTGCAACAAATAGAGGTAAGTTTTTACTAAGCTTATTCAAAATCTTTTATATATTATAATTTGAATCAAGATTCCTATCCGTTGATTAATGTGTGATATAACAAAATAACTGAAAATATTCCTATTCCTGAAATTTGTTTGCATACTGTTGAGTCCTACTTTTTCGGTATTGGCCAAATGTAAACCAACAGTGGCACCATATAAAAATAGTTGTGTTGTTCTTGGCCGCTCTTGTTTTATTGGTTAACATATCATAAATATCCCTTAATGTCATGAAAGTTTGAAAGGAAGGTCTTTTGCAACTCAGCTGGGTGGTGATTTCAATCATTTCTTTAATTTTGAGGCTGTTTTTATATGGCATTTGGTGATGATTTTTGCCTTACCCCATTCAATTATTAAATGTGAATGCTTGAAGAAGTATTTGACTAAAGATATGCTATTTTCATTGTTGAACTTATTGGCAAAGACCTTGGAGTTCTAAGAGATTTTCCCTTCAGATTGTAACACGTCTAGGATCTGTCTCCAAATAAAAATGAGAGTCATCTATAAACAGAGCTTGGCTTCATTCTCTGGTATTTGTCATGATGATCTCTGCACCATTGCAACTGGCCATATTTGACCTCCTGAATTAATTGGACATAAATTGTGAATTTCCTTGCATGTGGCCGTCTTTTATGCAATCTGCCAGTGTTGGTTTATCAGGATAGTTGAGTTCCTGTAAGTGCAGTGAACTCCCTTGCAGTCTGGGGTGATATCATTTATCTTTCTTTTAGAAACCATTGCCAAATAATGGTCCTAAAAGACAGTCTGCCATGGCACATTTTTTAGCTTGACCTGTTTGAATACATCACTAGCATCTTAAACTGTTTCCACATCCTTTTGAAGATGCTTTTGGCTACTGTCATATAGGCAGTATCTGGTCTGCTTCCATTCTCTGAATCACATGCTGCTCCTCGCAATCCATCAAATGCCTTCTTAACAACACACCCACCTTCCACATAGGAAAATTTTACCAAACTACTTGTACATTCTTTGAAATTAGAATTTGAAGCATGTCCTTACACTTTTTTCCACATGTGCTGGAAGAATGGGCATACAGCCTTTGATTATTTCAGTGTAGTAAAGGTAAACACCAGCACTGACCTTGAGCTAGCAACCAACCACCTTTCATTAGACTTTACGTAACAGAATTGACATAAACCCCTTTTTTTATAGTTGTTCATTTAAGGTTTTCCTCTTAAGGTATTATAAATGGGAAATATGTTTTAAGAAATGTTTGTAATTTAATGTTAACTACTTCAGAGCTTTTAAGGAGGTGAACTCAAACTAGTTTCGATTAATTTACTTTATAGATTGTGTTTAATGATACATACTTATGTCTTATTTTTAGTATAATATTGCACAAGGCGAGGCATAGATAATTGCTTTGATTTATTCAGTTCAGTTTGCTATTAAGTCATTATTTTTTTTTTTATTAATGTTAGTTAAAAGTACTTAATTTTCCTTTAAAGAAATGTATATTAACCTTGTATCATGATAGCACTTGAAAGCAATTAAAATTTTATTTAAAAACTGTGCATTAACAGATTATTTTCTTACTTGTTTTTATACCACACATAATGCCTGGCATATTAACGCTGCAATATTATGCTTTTAAAAATAAGTCTTTTGAAAAAAAAAAAAAAAAAAATCAAAGCACCATGAAGTAAGTGGTTGTTTTTGATGAAATTGAATATGTGTATACCTCATACACAGATAATAAAATGATTAAAAAATCAAGGTCATAGTACCTGTTCACAGCTCACAATCACCGAGTGTTCAAATTAGTAGTTGGTCGAACCACCCGTAGCAGCAGTGTATGCTTGAATTCGTCGAGGCAAGGAGTGGTAGAGGGTCCTAATGTCATCCTGTGACACATTCTGCTAGGCATTCATCAGTTGTCGCTCCAGATCTGTGATAGTTTGTTGTGCCCGAATCTGGTGGCCTACTATGCCCCAGACAATCTCGATTGGTTAAAAGTCTGGTGACCTTGCTGGCTAAGGAAGAGTATCAACTGCACGGAGACAGTCCAGAGATATGTGAATGGTATGCTGCCTGGCATTATCTTGTTGGAAAATGGCCCCAGGATGATGTGCATGAAGGGAATGCAACCGGCCGCAGGATGGTATCAACATATCATTGAGCTGTTAAAGATGTAAGGAGGTTGACTAAAGGTGACCTGTTGTCATAAGAAATAACATCCCACACCATCACACCAGGGGTTATGGCTGTATGCCTTTGTAAAACAAAGGCTGATTGGGATCGTTAACTCCGTCCTCTCCAGACACGAATAGGGTGGTCATCTGCTTCAAGAGTGAAGCGGGATTCATCGCTGAACACAATACGATGCCAGTTTGATGGCAGCTATGATGATCGGCTGCCACACCACTCAAGATGACTCCGCTGAAGTGGTGAGGTCAAAGGCAAACTTCTTAAAGGCCTCTGTGAGCATAACCCCGCCTCAGACAAGCGCTGTGAGATGGTGGACAGTACCGCGGCGTAGACGTGGCTGTAGTGTGTTGAATAGTCGACAATGATACCATTGGGGCAGTTTGTGCCTGGCAAACAATCATCCTGTCTTGCCTCACATTTGTGCTTCTTGGCCTTTCAGAGCCTTCATTTTGTCGGCAATTTCCTTGTAGCAACCACTGCTGCCAACATCTTTGCACAGCATTGCTGTACGCTGAAGGTGGCGGCATATTGCTTGGTATGACCACCCAGATTCATGCAACCCTACAATGCGACCATGTTTGAAGTCGTTTAGATGTTTGTAAGGTCTTCGATATAGTCGTAATTGCATCTTTAGTTGCTTCTTTACGGAATTACAATGGCAGCAACAAAAAAAGATAAACTTTTCCGCCTGTGTTACTGGTTTTATACTTTGCGAATTGCGCACTAGAAATGTGTGCTATGATTGCATTTCCTGTTCATTTGCCTTGAAACTTTGATCATTTGCATGTTTGACCAGGATGTTTTTGCATACCAAATGTCATCACGATTACAAACGTCCTACTTGGTGCTTCGATTTTTTTGCAAAAGAGTGTAATTTTAATAATGCATTTTTATATTTTCATATATGATCTTAAAAAATGTACGAAATTTATCAAACAGACTCATTTTTAAATTCTTTTTTAAAATTTTAAATCATTTTCCACTTGATTTCATGTACTGAGGTTAATTTGTCTCTTTGGATTTTTAAAAGGATGTTTGTCAACAATATTACATTTAATGGAAAATCTTGGGGATAATATTCAATTGCAGCTTTGAAGTAAAATAGTATAACCTCTTTTTCATATAAATTTTCAACTTTTATGCTGTTAGATAGACTATTTATCAGCAATGATATTGTTGTGTTTGATCATTGTGAAAATTTTTAAGCTCTTATATGCTATTATTTTCATTTGATGTAATTCTGTAATAGAAATTCATTTTTAGATAGTGCAGAATGAAAATTTTGTTGTTCACTGTCATCTTAGCACTTTGACTGCTATAATGTTCAGATTCTAACCATTTACTAGCATCACTTGTATAGATTTTATTGTATGTTCTCAGCTCTTTTTGCAGTTCCTTGTATTCAAATTACAATAGACTTCTGTAGAAAAAAATTGTAAAATTATAATTAAATTTTATCATATAATTTTTTTTATAAAACAGTAATATAAAGCTACTTAATAATATATTACTTCAATTACACATTATAAACAGCAGATAGAAATGTCAGAAGATTATATAAATGTTTCAAATCAGATTAATGCCAATAGAACTTCCAAAATTGTGCATATGTCATAGTAGCTAGTAATCATTCGAATTATGTCAGTGTTTATGTGATACTGGCAGAACAAAGTCACATTAACATGATGCCAGCTGATGATCACTAGCTTCCAAAATCATTTATGCATGAAAGAGTGACCAATAATTGCTGTCAGTGTAAAATCACATTTGCATTTCTTATTTAACATACTATTTTTCTTTTATTAAGTTTGTTAAGTTATAGCATCTGATAACTTAACAAACTTAATAACCGTTCTGCTCATAGTCACTATAGTTAAAAACATTAGTGTTATTATATATATAAATGTTCACTTTTGTTCCAAATTAAGTAATAAGTTCCATAACTAGCTTATATTTATTAACTATCAACATCAATACTAGTAGAATTACAGTTGAATTGAATTATAAACAAAACAGTGCTTTTTTATGAATGTTTTGATTTTCTTAAAATTCCCAAGCAGAAGTAATTTGTATTATTATAATGTTACATGCGTGTGGGTTTATAAGGACTGAATGTACCCATAACCAATGACAGCCTGATAAAGCTTATTTTGTGAAAGCATTATTTGCCACATTTTGCATCAAATGTGGCAAATAATTGGTTTAATCGAGGGAGGTCAGACACAAATGGAGGTCACCGAAGGTTTTAATATCCCTCAGTCATATCAAGATGTGGAAGCTGCTTTTGAAGCACTGGATCAATTTGTAAATAGCCAGGTCAAAGATGGGCAAGAGCAACAACTGCATCAGTTTTCTGTTGTTATCCTTTTAAAGGAACTGCAAAGCAACTACAAGAGATTTGGTTTTAGACTTCCAGGCTACCACATTAACTCAAATTAGCTGTTCTGCTGCTGTACAAAGGGTTGAGCTATAAGCTTGAAAACGGTTTGTGTCCCACTCTTTACAGCTTCCAGAGGGGCCCCTTTTAATCTGGTGCCATTGTAATGTTCAGTAGAGCCAAGGCAACGGTATTGTGTACTGACAGGTCCAAATATAGTCTGATTTTAGACATGTTTTGATCTGGACAGAAGAAACACGCAACTTGCCTTCCCTTGTCCATGAAGTATCCTGTTTCTGCGATTGTGGTTTAATGGTTTGGAGAGGAATCATGAAAAATGGCTGCATGTCTTTTAAGGAAGTTGTAAGTGCTGAGAGATATATGGATAAGGTATTGGAACCCCAAGTTAGACTGTTTAGGGGTGCTGTTGGACCAGGGTTTTTACTAATGGAGCATATGTAGTGCCTCATCGAGCATATGTAGTGCTAGAATACTTGCAAGCAGAAGATATCACCTGGGATGGATTGGTGACTTTGCTCACCTGTGTGGGCTCACCGTCCTGAATTTCAGAGTGCTGAATTTTTCCCAGGAAACTCCAAGAGCTGAAAATGGACTTTTAGAAGAGTGCCTTTCAATCCCACAAGACTTGATCAACACTTTGCAAAGTCTATGAAATAAGATATGAGGTATGCATATCTGTCCGACATGGCCATACACTATATTAAAAAATTTTTTCCACAGAAGTGATATTTAATTTTCCTATCAATTTCCAGTTTCCATAAATTTGGTTTCAATTTCAATATTTTGCAAATAATCAACTGTCAGACATTGCAGTTTATGCTAACTGATGCTATTGTACAAATTTCTGTTTAATAATTTTTCATTAAGTATCAGTTATGTTTTATTTCTGTCATTATCCTTTAATTTAGATGACCAGTGTACATAGGAAAGGACAAGTTATAATTATACAGAGATCGAACCCAAATGTCACCAAATGGTAGCCAAGTTTACCAACTTTCAAGCTGTTTAGAACTGTGTAAGGACCAACCCAGGGTGATTGCGGTTTAGGAGAAAGTCCTTTTTGCCGAATCCGATTCTGTAACCATATCCTCAGTTAAGGAGAAAGTCCTTTCCATTGAGTTGGATTCCGTAAACACACTTTGTCACCCGTTTGACTGCTACGCGGTGCAAAAGCGCTGCGTTCATTTGTCTCGAAAACCGCGATACAGGTCTTTTGCGCTGCGAGTTTCAGTATGTCTTTGTTGCTTTGTGGGTGTGAACATACGTAGTCTTTACCTTTCACGTACTTTGTAACATAAGCGCATTCTAAAATAATTAACTGTGTCGCGGTTTTCGAGACAAATGAACGCAGCACTTTTGCACCGTGTAGCAGTCAAATGGTTAAATCAACATGCTGTAGCTGTCATCAAATTCTGCATCCCCAAGTTGACTTGCTTTCATTCAAAATTTTGCATCACTTCAAACTGTGCTTGAGATCCTGAATGTACTTCTCAGGTTATGAAGATGCATCTGAAGAGCAAGCCTATAATCGATCACAAGGCAGTGAAGGTCATGACTAAAGAGCATCTGGGATGGGGAGTAGCTAGTAGTCTCATGAGCAACACTTCAATAGGGCAGTAAGAACAGACATAACTTCTGGTCCCCAACCTGTTGGTTTTTGGAAACTATTAGCGAGAGGTTGTTAAGGAGGGTTTAATTAAACCTCTCTACCATGCTGTCTGACTATTGATGTAAAGGTGTCATTTGGGTTTCGTCTGTACCATGTAGTTTACAGAGTTCTCTAATTACAGCTGAGAAAATTTCTTGCTTGATCCAGATGTTGCTAAAGAGGCACTCCAAATTTGGAAATCCAATTCTGTGACCTCTGCTACAGTGGCAGCCTCTTGATAAGGGATAGTATATGCTTTGGTCCATTTTGCAAAGTAATCAATGACAATGAGGATGTAGTTGCTGCCATCAGCAATTAGTGGCAGAGGGCCCAGGATGTCAAAAGTGATGCATTCAAAAAGCACTTCTATATTGTAATGTTGCAGTTTTCCTCAGGTGCGTTTCTTCAATCCTTTCTGGCTTGCACAAGCATTGCATGATCGGCACCACTTTTGGACGTGAGCCTGTGACTGTATTCCAGTAGAAGCGCTCTTGAACTCTATGCAAAGTCGTGATTATTCCGAATTGGCCTCCTATATATCTATATAGTTTTTAAGGATATCTTGAGATCCGGATTCTTAGAAGTATCAGCTTGTCATCAGAATGCCTTTCCCTGATATGATTAAAAACTTCTCATACAAGGCATTGTTTCAGATATGGAGTGAGTTCCAAAGAGTCCACTATTGTTCAGTTGTAGGACTGTAGACAGTTGTAGGACTGTAGTTGGGACAGGACATTTCTCATGTCACCTATTGCACTACAGATTCCTGCCCAGTCTTTGGTACTTACTGCCTTATTCCTGAGTGTCTCATTGTATGGTACTAGTGCTCTTGTGCGGCTTGTTAGTGTGCTATTTAGTGTGCATATGATGGAGCCCAGTACATGAACATTCTAAAGTACTAACCTATCCACAGCTACTATATATGTAAAATGCACCAGGATAACTTATGTGTGTATTTATTTATGTATATATGTATGTATCATTGTAGAAATGGCCTGTAACCAAGAGTAAAGTGTTTAATTATTAACGTGGAATGTTTATGTACATGCAACAACATATGCATATGCAAAACAAACATTATTGTAATAATTTATTCCCAGTGTTTAAACCTAGGTGCACATAAAATGCACCACAGTAATGTTTAATTATTAATGTGTAATATTTATGTAACAGCTGCAGTGTGTGCACCAGTATACAAATATTGTATTCTAAATTACAATTATTGTAAAATGCTCAAATTTCAATATACAGCACCAACAAAAGTTTCTGTTAAGCTCCTGATGCTGCGCTTTTGGGGCACCAAAGAATTATTATGTTGTACAGTTGTGGATTCCGGACGATACCCGAATAGTCCTAGTAAGCCTGCCGGATTATTAGGACTACCCGGTTACCCGCCCGATCTGCTCTTCCCTGTCACCTGTAGGACTGTAGATCAAAATGTCCTGCCAGGTAGGTAGGTTTCTTATTTGAAGATAACATTCTCTCAGTTATGGGTTTAGTGTCACCATTTTCCAAATGGTCTCTTCTGACTTCTTTGTCTTTCCATTTGTTGAGTCACACCAGAGATGGGGAAACTTTGTATACTTGCCCAATTAAAATGCGACTTTGGAGGCCAGGACCCAATATCATCGACCAACTTTTGTTTGGATGCCAGTTGTAGAGACCCTTAGTTTGTTGAAGCAGGAGACATGAAAAATGTAGTTCTCTTAATGGGACTTAAACTCCGTATCTTCCGATACTAGCCAGATGTGTTTGATGTGTTTCCAGTTAGACCAAGAAGGCATGTAGTAAGGAGGGAGACATACATTACATCTTAATTGAAAAAGATGCATGATCTTGGGTATTTAAAGGAGTAAAGATTTCCACATCATCTTTTATTTAAATAATAGTGTGCATGACACAAACATTAATGAATGATTGGTTTGAAAATCATTTCATAACTGGAGGCATGGCAATATTTGAAGCTAGCTGGTTTGCCGAAAGATGCAAAAATTATTCTTTTAGTGAAAAATAATATCTCAGCCTTTTTTCTTCTGCAAAATTGTACATCCGTGATTGAGCTAGAAGATATCAGAATGCTACATGTTTGAAATGCAGATATGTAGCTTTTTTTGCAGATATATAGCTTTTTTGCAAATATGTAGCCTTTTTAAAATCTATGCAATATTTTCTGAACAATGGGAAGGCCATTCAAAAATTTGTTGCCTAAAATATGCTAAATACCTAAAATATGCTGTGCCAGATAATTAGAAGATGTGTTTGTAGGTATTTTAAAATATGCTTGGCATAATTTATGGCCATCTATCATATTTCATAGTGATGATGATGATGATGATAGCTGCAAATTGGAAGGTTTTCAGACATACACATTGAAGGCAAAATTTTCCAAATAATGAAATTTGCGAACAAATGCAGAAGATTGATTACAAATGAAGAAGATATAACAGAAGTTTTCCATTGCATGACAGTGCCTTTATCATCAGTCAATTAACAGATGGCAAATCTGTAATATGGTTTTAAAAATAATAGTGAGGAAAGTGACAAAGGTATTGTTAAAAGCAGAAAGATTTAAACACTGAAAGAAGTACTTAATAAAACAAATAAAAATTATGTTTTTTTTTTTTTTTTTTTTTTTGGTAAATTTTGATTTTCTTAAGGTTATAAACAACTATTTCTTGTAGTATCTAATTTTATAATTTCTACACATCTGCTTGCTAGATTTAAGTTGATGGTCTAAAATACAGATAACTGATGTCCTGATGATTCTGGATCTTGCATTTTGAAGTGTATTTTGTGCTGTATGAATATTTATAGTGCTTGTATAAAAATCGTATTATTCTTTTAAAAAATGAGATATAGGTTGTGATTTTTAACTTATATCTGAACTTTCATAAAGCTTTTAAAGAAGTGCTGCTAGGTAGTTTTTTTTTTCCTGTTTTTTCAGAAGCAATGCATTTTTTGCCTCAAGCAAAAAAAGATATCTTTGCATAGTTCATGAAACATTTTTGATTTGATGCTAATTGTTGTAAATGCATGTAAATAAATAATCTATTATCAAGAATTTAACTCTGATTCAGAGAGGCACAACACTTCACAGAGATAATAAATATATTATGATAGCATGGAAAAGTTAGGATGAAAATTTTTACCCAGAAGTAAAAAATCATAAGTGTGGAAAATTTATAATTTTGTTTGATTGAAAAAAATTATTTTTTTAAAAAGAATTTTAAAATAGCATTTCCCAAACTATATTTGCCTATGACCTGGTCAGGTTAATCCCACTATCAAAAATGGTTGAATTGACATAGAATCTCAGTCTTGTAAACTGTTAAATTAACCATGAAGAGTCTTGCTATATCAGAACTGTGCTTAAACTTGTGTTCAAATTATTTTACTTTTATAGACATGAAGGCGCTTATTAATTTATTTCTGTTTTGTCTTATAATGCAACTTAGATTCCTTTCTAATTCCTAACATGGAACTGGTCACTCATTTTGGTTTGGGAAGTGCTCATCTGAAGCATTATTACTTAGAGACTTAGAGCATTTGTTTTCACTCTTATAGCATTTGAATAATACATATGATGCTGATGTGCCATTAGTACTTATGAATTCATTTAATACTGAGGAAGATACACAAAAAGTTTTAAGAAAGTATCGAGGCTTCAGGATAAAAATTCACACATTTACACAAAGCAAGTAGGTAAATTTTGTTTGAACTGCATGCTATCTAGTCTTTGTTGATACTTTCATTAGGACTGTTGGTGTTATAATAGGCTAAATTAAATATGGGGAATGTGAAGCTCAAATGACATTAGCTAGAAGAATAATTTAGTTCTTAAAAAAACTGTATGTGTAACTTTATTTCTCTGTTTTGTATGTTATGTATGTTTGCGTGCACACTTGCAATTTATCTGATGTTATTCATGTGTTGTATATCAGTTATGATCATTTCTAAATATCTGGGAAGAAAAATTCATACTGATGTTTAATCTTGCAGTTTTTATGATATAAATGGCTCACAATATTGATAATTATAATGTCAGTAATTTTCTTGTCAAGTATATTTAAGAATTTCTGAAGTACACAAATTATTCTAAAAATAGATTAAAAATATAAATGTCGTAGAAATACAAAGCTTTTTTGTAATATAAAAAGGCTAGAGCTAAGTTTTTGAAAATATTTGTCGAAACTGTGCATGTGCTTTTTAAAGATCAAATAATGTCTTTTGTTTAATGTTTTTCTTTTTGTAATTCTTAAACAAATTATATCATACTATTTGGAAAGATGTAAAAATAATCTAACCCAAAATAACATTTGAATGTATGATATGATTACTTGATGCAGATAAAAAATACTTGCAATAGAATTTGAATAGAATTTGGATATTGTCACTTTAATCAATATTAAAATAGCTTATACTTCAGTAAATTAGAAATAAGAATTGCTTAAAATTTTGCTTGGAATTTTTAACTTTAAACCATTAATGAAATCATTTTCATCTTTCATTTGCTAAATGGAATGTACCACAAGTTCTTTATACACTTCATAAGTGACAAGAATTCCTTTTTAATTTAAAAACTTAATTTCTATGGCAAGCTGCTTTTATTTATAGTGATCTGTGAGCATTAAATTTTTTTAAATTGCTTCTCTATATTTTAATTTAATCAAATTGCTCGCAATTGATGTATAAGCTCATAAATTAAAGGGCTTGCAGCAAGAAGGGCCCAGTTCACATTTTTAAATTTTCGGAAAATTAAACAAAATTCTCAAAAATTCATTTTTTAACTTCTGTTCTAAATGTTTGTCTTTATTAAAAGTGCTAGTAAAAATGATCTTTTATGGTTATTTCAATGCAAAGAACGATTTTTTTTTTTAACAAAAAAGACTCGTGAACACAAAATCTACCAAAGTGGACATGGGCTCTTCTTGCTGCAAGCCCTTCAGTTATGTCTCTTAAATATTGAATGGAAAAATTCTGATTTGTGCATTTTGATTTCATTTTTACACAACTATATTTCTGAATATGTTTTAATGTTTAAAGTAAGTGTGTAATAATTACAATGGAATATGTTTTCAATTTTCAGTTGTGTATATATATATATTTTATTTCGAAGGTATAAATGCATCATCTTGTGTAATACTTATACTAATTACTTAGCATTGTTTTTGATATTGTTGTTATTTTGCATTACAGGTATCCCAGAGTAAATAAAGAAAGTTTAATGCCTATTGCATATTCTCTTGAAGAGGATGATCCAGAAGCGTAAGTTTTACTTGAGTAATGGATAATGTTGAAAAGTAATTCCTCATGTTGCCACCTGCCCCGTTTTTACCTGGATGAGCCTTTTTTGATTTATTTTTAGATTTATTAGTTTCACTATTAATTTGTCCAGTTTTCATATAAATAGTGAAATTATGATGAAATGAAATAAATTAGCAAAACTATTTACAAGTATTTTATTCTAGTGAATAATAAATATAATTTCATCTCCACCCAAACTTCCGAATGAATCATTTAATTCAGTTCATTTTGAATTTCTAACTTGCAAATATTTTAAAGCAAATGTCACTGTTTCAATGTAAAAGTTTTTAATTTCTATGTTAATTATTCACTATAAGTAAATAATTACTCAATATGTATATACATTATTTTATAAACATTAAATAAATAAAATAAATAATTAAAAGGTAATTTTTATTTTGCTGCTTGTTTAAACCTTTCGTTTAGGTTTAACCGAAATATTTTTACAACTGAATTTTTTTATAAAGCAGCCAAAGCAGGTTATTAATTTTAAAATCAATCAATTGGCTAAGTATTTTAATGAATAATAAATTAATAAAAGAGAAAATCTAATGAAAACAATAATAAAATAATAGAAAATATTTTTTCTCACTATAAATAATCAAGAAATATTTAACTTTTTAATTTCTGTAAACATCCCAATTTTAAAATGTTTGGTTCAGCTATTTTGAAAAGGTGGCAACACTGACTATTTCACATAATTAACATCATATGATTTTCCTTATTCAGTTAATTTTATAAAATATGTATTCTCCTTGATTGTTAGGAGTGTATCAAAAATGCCGTTAATAGTAAACATAAGAAAAAATTTTATTTTTTTTAATTGGTTTTTATTTTATTATATTGCAGTCAAAATATTTTGACACTGGTAGTTCATACTGTATTTGGTTTCTACCTGCCAAGTGTGTTGACTACATAGAGTTTTGTGGTTTTCCTTATGTCCATGGGAATGCAAGCCAGTTTCTCTGTAAAAAGCCCATGAAGGCATCTCTCCTAAAATAACTTTCATGTGCTTTGGCTATGATCAGTCAACCAACGGATTATTATTAGTCCTTCAAATAATATTTGACTTATAGTCTTAGTCAAATTTATTTATAAGATTTATAATTTTAGTTCAGACTAGAATTGTGGATTTTGATATATGCTTTGAAAGATATAAATTTCATGCAAATTAAATTTTTATTTGTATAAACTATATGATCACACAAGAAAAACTGTCTTAGACATGGCATTTCTTCTCACAAATTAAGTGTTACAGCAGGTGCCATTTAATTGGATTATGTTTGTCAACAGTTATTTTGATAACATTAACTGATCAGGAAAAATATTCTTCAAAATAATAATGAAATTAAACTGAATATAACTAGAAACATATAAATAGGTACTTTTGCATCATTTTAATTAAGCTATTGAAAAAGGTTGTTTAGCCCGTCAACACACGCGCTGAGGTAAAATCCACCCCACGTGTAGTCTTTTCTTAGAAAATAAGGGAAGGTCGTACATGACCTTTCTAGTACTTCATGTACCTTTCAAGATCAAGGTTAGGAAGGGGTCATCCAGAGGAATTTTTCTCCGTGTCCTTGGGATTATGTGTTTTCGGGGAAGGAATGTGCAATGGAATTATAACTACCCATGTACTAACGTTTCACTTCTAGAGAGACATTCATTGAGATGAGTGCGTACGAGCAAGAACAGTAACGACTGCGGGTTCTTCTCGCTAGTTTTGAAACTGATAGCGAAATGGAAGATTCCGATTCTGAGTGCGATAATATTTCTGAAAGTGCTCACGAAACTGATTCTGACCAGTAATATGATGATTCACATGATTTAGGGAGCATATCTTTGACATCAAATATTTTTTATGTTTGAAAAGATGGAACTATTTGAAGTAAAAATTTATCCTCGAAAAACGTTCAGACACGGCCACACAATATAGTGACACATCTCGTGGTGTCAAGAAAAGCTTTAGAAATTTGAAAAATCCAACTGAGTATTTATTGCAAATTTTTGATGAAGAAATAATGGAAGATTTGGTGAAATTAACAAGCATATACATTTTATCAATAAGAAACAAATTCTCTAGAGAACGTGATGCACAAGAGACAAATGTAGCTGAATTGAAGGTATTGTTTTTCCTATTGTATTACACTGGATTGCTGAGAGCAGCACTTCTCAAAACAAAGATTTGTGGTCAGCTGACGGAAGCGGAATAACTGTTTTTCAAATAACAATGTCTATCAACCGATTCCACTTCCTGTTGAGGTGTATTAGGTTTGAGGACATAAATTTATGAGCAGAGCGAAAGATGATGGCTAGACTTGCACTTGTTAGAAATTTTTTCAACTATTTATCAAAAACATATGAAAAATATATTCTTTATCTGAATATTGTACTATAGACAAAAAATTAGAACCCTTTTGAGAAAGGTGTCAAATTCAGGCAATATATAAAAAGTAAGCTCGCAAGATATGGAATAAAAACTTTTGCTTTGTGCGATTCTCACACATTTTACGCATACAACCTAGAAATTTATGCAGGTCAGCAGCTTGTCAGACTGTATAGACAATCAAATGTGGCATTGAATGTTGTACAAAGACTTATCGCACCCATAAGTGGCACTGAAGGAAATATAACTATGTACAATTGGTACATGAGCATTCCCTTGGCCAATGAATTATTAAAAAAGCACAAATTGACATGTTTTGGACACTTCAAAAAGATAAGCCTGAAATTCCAGAAGAATTTCTGCCAAATAAAACAGGCTTCTGTATTCTTCGCGTTTTGGGTTTAGAGATAAAGCATTAACTCTTACTTCATATGTTCCAAAAAAGAGTAAATCAGTTCTTGTCCATGCATGAAGATAATCAAATCAATCCATTGTCTAAAGAGCAGCTCAAGCTCGAAATGATAACATTTTGCAACTCTACAAAAGGTGATGTTTATACTGTTGATGAGTTATTTGGAACTTAGTCTGTTTCAAGAAAATGCTGTTGCTGGCCTCTAACGGTATTTTTTGGACTAAAGAACATTGCAGGTATAAATGCTTTTATTATTCATTGATCAAATAACGAGTTAGGTTAGGTTACTTAATTACGGCAAAGCCTCGAGGGCTATCTGCCTTCGGGGAGGGATGCCTTCGTGGAGAACTTTTTTGTGAAGGAAAGTGGCTCGTATACATGTTACACGTGGGTAAAACCACAAAAACACCCATGCAGCCAGCCCGTTCGCAGGATTCGAACCTCGGACCAAACTACCAGTGTTTAACGACTTTACCGCTTTCATCAAATAACAACCAAGTGAATATGAATCAAAGAGCTTTCCTCAAAGATTTAGCATTAGAGCTTGTAAAAGAACATGTCCTAAAAAGGGTTGCAATTCTATCTCTTCTCGAAAAACTCCAAACTGGAGTAAAAAGGTTGGCAGGAATAGAGATATGCAGCACACCTTCACCCTAAGAAATTGTTCGTAAAAATGTGTTGTCACACTATGTGAGGATTGTTCAAAACGAGATTATTTGAATAATTAAACTAATGTAGGAGGGGGAAGAAGGGAAACCTATGTGTTATTTATATATTTGTAATATTCGTATTTATAATCTATTCTTTGATATGAATAATTGTATTGACATTATATTGAGTTTTAAGGGAAACAAGCTAGTAAGAATGCAGCCTTTTCATATTCCTCTAGTGCTTTATCAAACCACTCTTTATAATAAACACTTATGTTTAAAAAATATGTACGTATGAAAATTGATTTTTCTAATATAAGAAATCATATATGCATCTTATATAAGTTAAGTAATTTTGCATAAATTTCGATTTTTATGGCTTAATTTAGGTAACCTGTATGGAAATGTTTGTATAACTTAAAGCAAGATTATCTTGAATTAAAACTGGAAAAAAGATTTAAAAAAATTTACAAAGCTATTAGTCATTTATGACATTCATTTTAAAACAAAGAAAATGCATTTATTTATATGTTGGGGGGAGTGAACTCCGAAAAAAAAACCACTGGGGTAAAATTTGTCCCTGCGCGTGTACTGAAGGGTTAAGAACTGTTCATAATGGCTTTTTGCAAAAGTTCAGTTATAAACTGTTTATAACAATTCTTAAAATTATTTTACTGAGCTGTACACCCCTGATCTTAATACTGAAAGGACATTCCTCATCGGAAGAGAACATGCCGATGTAAAATTTAAAACTGGACCATAAAGCAACTGTGGTTATTTTCAGGAATTTTATTTCCCATACCAGAAACAAAAACATTTTGCAGAATTTGTTTTTGCTCTTGAAGGAGAACATATGTCTGATTGCCCTCAAAATTTGCAAAACTAAGCATTCTTTTTTCCTCTCCCTTAATAATATATTGACGATATCCCTTAATAATATATAAACAATTGACTATAATTGAAAATAAGATGTTTAACAACTTAATCCCTTATTTGGCAACATTTCTTTCTCACTTGCAATTTTTAAAATAAATTTTTGGCCTTATCTGGTAATTTTGCCTTTTGTTTGATGACTTTATTTCAGTTTAAAAAAACTTTATTTCATAATATTTTGATCATATTAATATAATTGTTCATCACAATAAGTGATGCATTTTCCATGTTTTCATATATAAATGGGTGGGAGTTTGGCAATTTGATAACAATATCTAAATAATAACATTAACCATGATCAAATTTAGTGGTGTCTGCGTAAAATTTTGATTAATTAAAAAATTAAAAATACTATATGTCTGTCTAAAATTTTGGTCATATTATTAAATGGCAGGTATAGCTTATAGAAAAGAACTGAAACAACATGTAAAGTTGATTTCAGGATTATCTTCAGTCTTACATTTAAACAAAGAAAAGTCTTACATTGCAAATGTTAAATGCCCGAAATGTAAATCATAGAAAAATCTTTTTAAGGATATGCATTTAGAATGCAACAGAAGGAAGGAAAAATGTTAGAAAGCAAAATAATAACAATTAAGGATGATTGAGAAGCCAAACTGTTTATGGAATGGATTACTTACTTGGAAGTTTCATGATTTTGATCACAAAATCTTAATATAGCCAGTCAGTAGCCAGGAACATCTAATTTATTTTCTCTTGAAAAGTCTTTCGCTTTTGTAGATGACTTTTGAGAGGAACTAACTGGCTTGGTAGAGGACTTTTAAGGGAAATTTAAGAGTTTTCTGCTTAATGTCTGTCATATTAGGCAGGTAGTCCTATGTGTTATATTGTATAAAATTAACAAAGCAAATCTCTGTGTTCTGAATTGCTGAAATATTTTTCCTTTGAATAAGTTATGCAAGAAAATTGAAGCTTCATAAAGTATACAATGATTAAAAAATGCATAAAGAAAATCTTAATTGTCAAAATTGAAGTAGAAAGAAAATTTTTACTGCACTTCAGTTATCAAATTTCTGAATTTTGCAATAATTATGTAAAATGTGGGAAAGAAAGAGCTATATTGCATTGTATTTGTGTGATACAGACAATTGATGCCAGAATGCAATTTTTGATTTCACCATTCACTGCAAAAGAACTTGAAAATTACAGTGATGGTCAGACACATTAATTAAAATTATTAGGTTTTAGAAATCTCTATTAAAAAGCAAGTATTTTAAAAGGGATCTATTCTTGTAAAGAAGAGAAATTTGAGATTTAAACTTCTAAGCAAGCTGTGATAAAAGTGATGAGATGTATCTGGAGTAAATTCAAAACTTTCTTCATGAATTTTAAGATAAATAATTAATTTTAATTCAAATTTATTAATTCAAATAATAGTAATAATTAATAGTAATAATATATTTAATAATTCAAAATAATAGATTTTAATTCAAATAATAATAGTGCATTTTATATTCGGAAATTTAATTTGGGATAATTTTAGTTGATGCATATGTGTTATATCTGTTTTAATATGTTCTTAATATTAATTATGTTTGCATTCATTTATATTCAATAAATATGTAAAGTTTTAAAAATTAATTAAACAAAGGAGACTTTGTAGTAGTAAAAAATAATAAATAAAATAATAAAGTATCAGTTAATCTATAATAATTTTATTTTCCTTTATGTACCTAATTATATTTTAGATGTGCATATCTATTAAGGTTCATTAACATTTTCTATACTTAAGTATGATTAATAATTTTATTTTTGTGATTCATTCAGATGAAGATTATGAAATTACATTAACATGTATACTGACTTATGTTGTTTTTTGTTTTTGAGTAGTGCCAATTAAGAGTGAATTTAAATAATGGATATAATATATATTTTAGTTCTGTATGCAGTTGGAAAAAACTGTTTGCAAACTGTGTATCATAATATATTGATGCTGTGTTAAAGTATTTGGTGTAGTAATTTTTACATTATTGCAACTTGTCTTATGATCTTGTGAGAAGCAAACACTTTGAGATAATCGATGCTTCAGAAAGTCATTGGTGAAGGTTCCATAATATCTTCTGTAGACAGTCAGCTAAATCAGTGGTTCTCAACCTTTTGAACCAACGCGTACCATCTAAACAAAAATTGAAAAAATTTAGTACCACTACCACATCTTACAACAATTTTTCAATTTATAAATAGAAATATTATAGAAATATATATTTTGCCATTATCATGACATATTCACTATTTGTATTAAATATGCACACATAAAAACATATTAGATTAAAAACTGGCTACCATTTTAATTATCAAAAATCAAGTTATAATATTTTAATTCTAAAATTTAGTGTAAAATTTGGGCCTGTTTAAGAGAGATAAATTTCTTAATTTTTCTTTAATGTTGGATGTTAATTCTTTTAATTTCAATTAGAAAACTTTCTAAAAGTGGTAAAAAGCTTAAAATATTATTAGCCAATTGCTTGATTATTAGCTCGAGTTTTTTTATCATTGCATTTATTTTGTCTCTAATGGTAAACAAATTAACACTTTATCCTTGCAATCCTAAATTGAATTCATTTAACTTTCCAAAATTGTCAGCTAAATATGCTGAACACGGCAACTATAATTCATTACATAAACATTTTTCCAATTCAAATTTTCAATCACAGGGTGGGAAATTTGATTTTCTGATCGAAGTTCAAAAAGACGATTTAAAACTTTCCCTCTGGATAACCACCTTACTTCAAAATATAAAAAAAAGCATTTTGTGTTCACTGCGTATCTCTTGGGATAAAATCGTAAATATTGTTGAATTTAAAGTTCGGATTTTAAATTATAGCAATGCTCTTATTCCAAGAAATATCATTCTCAGACATAAAATCACCAATTACTTTGAAAATTTTATTTGCAGTTTCATCTTTACTCTTAACTAAATTATATTACAAAAGCTTCCTCATTTTTTTTTTTTTAATGTAAGATTAGGTTTTTATTAGTCACTCTGTTGATGTACTTTTATTACACAAATGTATGTTAGAAAATATTTAACTCTAATTAAACTATGTTTTCTGTATTGCTTTTACCTGCACATATTTATTTTAATTTTAGGTGGTATCCTCCAGGCCATGGTAATTTTTATGAAGCATTTTACAAATCTGGACTTTGTGAGCTTTTCCTCAGAGAAGGACGTGAATATTGCTTTATTTCTAACATTGATAATCTTGGAGCAACAGTTGATCTTAGTATCCTTTCAAACGAAAATATTTAATAAAAGAAATTTTCTAAGAAGTTGAATGTACATGATTATTTTTTTTTAACTTTAAATACAGTGAATATAAAATTTGGGATTTTAATGCTATATTTTGTTTTACTCAGTCTGCTATAAATAATAAAAAAGTATTTATGTTGATTATTATTAAATAATAATTTTCCTTTATATTATGGAATGGTAATGATGTTAGTTGTCAGTTACTGATATTAGCTAATCAGATATAATACAGACTAATTTTTTTTTTATTTCAAGACTTCAAACATGAACTGCTTGATAGATAGTCTCTGTTCTCTCTGTGCTTCTACAAAAATTTCTTAGGGTTGCCATATTCATCAGCAGCAAAGCGGGCACAAAGTGTGCTCCTTATCATTATCAGCAGTTTTCCCTAGTTCCTTTGATTTCACCTCAAAGGAGCAACATTAAATCGTCAAATATACCAGAGGATACGTACTGTGAATGTTTTTCACGAAGTCAGGATGTAAAATTAAAAGAGATCAAAATGTGGTTCTACATATAACAAGGTTATAATGCACTCATATTGAAAAGGCACTCCTGCTAAAAAAATAGGCAACAAAAGCAAATAACAGAATAAAATAAAAACTATTTAATGGATGTGTATGAAATTGATCTCTAAGAAGTTGGCGTGGTGTTACTAGACCACGTAGCAAACAATAAAGCAAAGACATATAAAAACACATGCATTACAACTATCACATTGTGAAAGACCAAATTGGTCAGAAGAATTGCATTGGAACATCATGCTAATAACAGCTATGATATTGTCTAGCTGAAATGCATGCTTAAGAATGAGTAAGGCACAATAATATCGTTGATCACTTGTTGTGGCAGTAGTGCCCATTCCTGTAGTATTGTATGTTGGAGCTCAGGAAGGGTGCCTGATGGCACACTGTGACCTGCTATCTGTCATCCCAGCCTATCCAACACATATTTTATAGAAATAAGGTCCAGTGATCTAGCAGGCCATGACAGATGTAGAATGGTTTCACTCTCCAGATAACTCCGCACCAATTGAGCTCTTTACAGGTGGCCACTATCATCCATAAATATGACATAGTACTCATTGCGGTGATAAAAAGATGTATAAGAGAAAGTAGAATTTCGTTGCGATATCGCATGCTTGAGATGGAATCGCCTGGAATCATGTAGAGGTCAGTGTCTCTGTTTGTTGCTATCCCAACCCATACAAGTAAGCCTTTTCCTTTGTAATGGTCTCTTTGAATGATGTTTGGCACTGAAAGACCATTCTTGACTTCTGCAATATCATTGCTCTTCAGGAATAATTCTGGATGTTAAATCAAGACTCATCTGTAAAGAATACGTGACTCCACTGCTTTGATGTCCAACTGCGATGTTCACAAGCCCAATTCAGGCATGCTGTGACATGCGATAGGGCAAGAGAACACAAACCACAGGTCATTGGGTATACAGTCTACCTTAATGCAGTCGACACGACTCAGTTTGGTGGGGTATAGATCATCTTGCAGTAACAGAGATGTGATGCCAGCTGTTGTGCTGTTAGTGATCTATGGCATCTTGCATATAGCAACAGGATGCAATCATCTGCCATTGTAGTAATCCTCCACCCACGTCTTGTACAGAGGTTTTGATCCCTTTGGTAATAATTCCACAGCCTGTTAGATGCATATTCAGCTCTCTCACAACAGCAGATTGTTTTGCACCAGTTTACAACATCCCGACAGCCCTCCAATGCATTTCATCCTCTTTTGGCTATCTCAGATATCTAGGATCTCTGCTTGTGAACTGACGCATAGGTCCAGCATGCCTCTTTTTAAGGCATTGTGATGTGACTGCAGGATTTGTTTTATGCTAAGTTTGGTTGCCTATTTGCATTTGGTGATGCAACCTCAACCTTATATGTAAATTGTATGTTTTAATTCCCCATTTTACATTTGTATCCTAGCATTTGTTGCTTATATTTTGTAGCTCCATTTCAGAACCTTGGTCTACTGTTATTACCGATGGGCAGCCAAAGCGAAATATGTGCATGTTGAAAATAACTCTGCTAATAGTTATAGTTTTCATATTGGGGATAGGAATGGTTTCAGACCATCTGGAAAATCTTATCTATTAGAGTCAAAAGGTATGTGTTACCTTCTGATGGTAGTAATGGGCCAACAATGTCTATGAGGATTTGAAAAATAGGCATCAGGAAGAGAAAATACTTTAGTGTGTATGTATTTTCGATCTTTGTCAAGTATTTTCGATCTCTGTCAAGGATTTCACCCAATTTTTGATATGACGCTTCATAATGAGCCATATATAACAAGAACAAATGAGTTTCATAGTAGCTGCAATTTCTTAATGAGATTGATTATGAAGATGATTAAAGATGAGTCTGCAAAAGGAATCTGGAACAAAAAGACAAAGAATGTCTATAGAGATGTCACAAAGAATATTGCCATTAGAGTATTGGCATGTCTTTGAATTCCAGCTGCAAGAATGAGGTATTGTTTTTGAATAGGTGTTGTACTTCCGGATGTTAAGCTTCGAAATTTTTTTTAAAATAAAAATACGGAGATTTTGTAATGGCATCAATTTTGATTCTCAAAAGAGTTTCAACAATGAGGCTTTTAGAACCTTGCACATACCTAACGTTAGTAGAATACTCAGAAATAAAATATCTAAATGATGTAACTGCCATGGTGTTTGTGGGGGTTCTGCTTAAAACATATATTAATGCTTTCTGTCCCATATAAATTTGAAAATTCCTGCCCTCTAACATGTTTTGGAATTTTTTAATCACAGAATAAATTGGAAATAATTCTCTGCCATATGTAGACCATTTCTGTTGACTTTTTTTGAATTTCAGAGAAAAGTGCTATATGTTCCCATGTTTCCTGAGACAACTGTAGAAGAATGCCGCCAATTGCGATATCATCTGCTCAGATGCTTAACTGGGCTCTGTAAATAGGGTGTCAAAAGGGTAGCCCGAGCAATGGCATTTTTGGCAGCAATAAAGGCTTATTCATCATTTTCATTCTAGATTTAAATGTGTGAAGGAATCCTGAGCACAAGAATGAGATTTCTTTTTTATTGATATGTCCTACTAACAGTTTTATCAATCCTCTGAGGGACAGGACCAGCTTTATCCAGTCATGAGACTTTTTGTCACTTAGTATGTGCTAGCTGATAATTTAAGAAAATTTTCTTTCTTACTTTCTTCAATAATGTAAATGTCACCTTAATAAATGTAAGTTAAAATGGAGACAAAAATAATTATAGAAATTTAGGTAATAAATGCTGTTTAACTATGGATCCTAATGAGAGACTTAAACAAAAGCACTTAGAGGGTTAAAGGATAAAGAATGTGTGCTGCTGTAGGTATGAAACATCTGTAAAATTTAAACATTCGTAAAAATTGAGGAAGCTGATTAAGAATGGTAGGTCAAGAGAAATCTAAAATACCTTTAACTTTGTCAGGAAGAGGTTCAGTTCCAATTTCACTAAGGTGAAAACCTAAGATATCAATAGATGCTTGCCAAAGATGCATTTTGAACTTTTGTGCAAAGTCCATATTCCTGAAAGTTTGAAAATGATGCTTTCAAATGCCTGCAGTGTTTCTCGGAATCTTCTAAATCTCATGTGACATCATCATGTGACCTAATGAGAGACTTAAACAAAAGCACTTAGAGGGTTAAAGGATAAAGAATGTGTGCTGCTGTAGGTATGAAACATCTGTAAAATTTAAACATTCGTAAAAATTGAGGAAGCTGATTAAGAATGGTAGGTCAAGAGAAATCTAAAATACCTTTAACTTTGTCAGGAAGAGGTTCAGTTCCAATTTCACTAAGGTGAAAACCTAAGATATCAATAGATGCTTGCCAAAGATGCATTTTGAACTTTTGTGCAAAGTCCATATTCCTGAAAGTTTGAAAATGATGCTTTCAAATGCCTGCAGTGTTTCTCGGAATCTTCTAAATCTCATGTGACTTCATCTATAAATCATTGAAAAGTTGCAGATGTGTTGCATAAGCTGAACTGCATATGTAACTTTTGAATAAACTGAAAGATGTACATATGGGAGTTTTATGAATATCATCAGGATTGATAGGTATTTGATAATATGCCTTAATAAGATGAACACGACTAAAAGTTTTAGTGCCATGCAATGCAGCAATAAAATCAGCCAAGCAAAGAATGAGATGTTTAGCTTACATTGCTTGGGCATTCAGTGTGCAATAATCGTCTACAAGTAAGGGAAGCCATGTGAAATGGGGTTGCATAATTACTTCTTGAACTATAATGAACAATGTTGTGCTTAATAGGTTGGTTAGGATCTAATAATGTAGTAATAGAAGGAAAGTCTTTTGAAAAAGTGATGATAATTGTGATAAAGTGTATCACTGAAAACAGTTTTTACTGAATAAATGTGTCATTTTTCAAATAACCTACAGTTTAAAACTACATTTGAAATCTTTGAGATGTTTGTTTCTAAAATCAGGCACTAATTCAAATTCGAAGAAATGAAGGAAATCTCCTCCAAGAATGGATGTAGTAACATTTGTTATTAGAAAATCCCAAGTAAACTGTTTTCTTAATTTGGAATCCAAAGAAAGTGCTTTTTTGACCATAAACATGAATAGTTGAAGAATTAGCAGTGAGAAGTGTTTTTCTGCATTTTTAAGAATTGTTAGCCAGAAGTAAGGACATGTTAGAGCCAATATCAACCAAGAAGGAAACATTTGTTCTCCATTCACAAACCAACAGGACCAAGAAGATGCATGCAAAGAAAGAAAGTTTCAATAGACATATAGTAAACAAGTTTACTACCGTGCCACCAAATCACCAGGTATACAAGAAACAGAGGAATATGGTACAAAACCAAAGAATATGCAGGATTAGTTCTTTGATAGAGCTTTTCGCAATAATTTAAACTCTGATTCTTGTAGATATTTTTACTCAAAATAAACAAGCCATTAATTAATCTACTTAATGTGGACCATTAATTTGATTTATGTTGATACACTTTGGGGGGGGGATTGTTACACAGAAGTTTGACCTCTTGACAAATGTGACCTTCAACAGCTATTTTGCATATGCGCAAGTGGTTTGATGGAGCCACTCTTGCTTTGGCAAAGCTTTTACTCTTAACATACATGTTCTTTGAACAGGTGATGTGAAATTTGAGACAAAGAATAAATCACCTCTATTCTTTGCTGCCTTTATCCCATGATCAAGGGTTGGTACACTTGTCTTTCCTACAGTTTTCTCCAAAACTGTCCATGATACCAAACAAATAGAATAATCTCCATATTTTGAACTGCTTCTTTCCTTTATTGCACCCATGATACCAGCAAATAGAATAATTGCAATCTCCATGATTTGACAAGAGACTACAAGAAAAGGAAATATGATCAATACATTTGTTTAATTTTTCTATATCATTAAATGAGTTACTTTCAGCAGATTGATCGAATGTGTGGGAAATGATGCAAGTTCCAGAGATTGGATTTACTTCTAAACTTTGTTAATTAACCACAGCAAAAATAGACTGAATAGTTGAAAGCAAAGGCTGAAGGAATAATTCTAACATTAAGTTATCAGGAACATTTTAGAACTCTTTTCAATGTTTCATTATTCCTAAGCAAATCGGAAGGTTTTTCAAGAGTCTAATTCCTCTCCAGATAATAACTGGCAGATTTCTTGCTGGGAAGGTTGTTCTGACTGGTTTATTAACTTAGTTTTTAACTTTGTATAAAGGTCAGAGTCTGGTTTCATAATTAGATCTCCAACTAATGATACATTATCTGGAAGAAGATGGGAAATTACACAATTATATTTAGTACTTGATTCTGTGGTAGATTTGGGGTGGCAAAAATAAGTATACTTTCACACATAATAAACTAGTTGGGATTGTTTGATTATAAACTGGAGTTCAGATAGCATGTAGGTTAAATATTGTGCAAGGTTTAAGCCAAAAGAAAAATGCAGCTAAAGAAAATGGAATATGAATGCTAAATAGAAAACAAAATTTTGAAATGATCAATAATTAGTACTCATCTTTGATTTGGAGGATGAAAATCAATATAATCCATAAGTTTTGGTTAGGACATCTTGAGAGATAGCGAGTTATCAAAAACGAAAGTACTTGCAAACTTTCCACAAAATCTTGTTTAGCGATATCCAGAAGTCACCATTATTGAATGGTGCTGATGTTAGTTTTCTATAGCTCATTAAATATTACCACTGCATTCATCAAGAACTTTGATCAGACACAATACACATTAAAAATTGTTCTTTATTTCATGATTTCAAATGCACACCAGTCAACAGACATTCTGTTCTTTCCCTGCTTCTACAAAATCTTCTCCTTAGGGTTGCCATATTTATTGGCAGCAACATAAGCACAAGGCACATTTCTTATTGCTATCACCATAATATAAGAAGGATGAAAGGAACTTATTTTCTTAAAAAATGTTGTTTGCGTAAAGTCAATCAGCTGTAACAATTTCAGAAACTTTTAATTAATTCTCTGGTTTCAGTAGTTTCAATAGAATTAACAGACCACCTCTTTCTCTAAATTTCATAATTTTATTGCAGTGATTGTTCTTTTGTGAGAAATGGCAAACCCTATATAAATATTGGAGAAGTCAAACAACAAGAATCAGCATAATATTTGTAAATCTACCTATGCTGATTCTTGTTGTTTTGGCATGTTCTTTTAACCTGCTATAAATAGTTTAGAATGTGATAGAAGAATATAAATTCTTGAACCCAAATTCTTTACTTTTTATTTCTTTTAGAAATTAATTTTGAAATCACTTAGTGTTACAATTCTAATGTAATTTTAGTAGAAAAGGGTTAGGCATTGAAATTCTGATGTTGCATACTTTCACATGCACATATGACAGGTATGTATATTTCAAAATTTATATTGCTACAAAACTGTTATGTTTTTATTATTGTTTCAGATTTCTTTAAGGAATCAAATTCTAAGTTTTTACCCTGCAAGCTAAAATAAAATGTCATATATGCAGTAGCAATTTTTTGGATGTTTCAAATTTTTATTTATTTTACAAATTTTATTTTTAATTTATGAGAAAAATGTCTTTAACTTAAGTAAAGATATTCTTAATTCATTGCTTCATCCAACACAACAGCCCTCACCTGAATTCGTCATGGAAGTTACTAATAAGACAAATGCAGATGTCAAGGTAATTTTTCCTTGAATAAAAATATTTATATCAGATATTATTTCTTCTTTTTTTATTTATCTCTTAATATACAGTATATTATTCAAGAAGCCTGAGCCAGGATAAGGTTTTCAAAAAGGTTCAAGAAGCAAAAGCCAGGATAAGGTTGCAACAGTACTTTTTTGATTATATGCAAACAAATTTAAAGTGCGATAGGGTCAAACTTTAAATATAAAGTTCTTGATTGATTGTGAAAATTGTGACTAAATTTCTGCTTTAAAAAAAAAAAATGGAGTATGTTGAAGAAGATATTTATAGAAAGAATCATTGGTATTGTATTTTAATATAGTTTTAAATTTATTCAGTTTCATTATTTTGTTTAAAATTAGCATTTGTATGTTGCAACTATTTGGATTTCCTAGTACACTGCCTGAAAAAAAAAAAAAAAAAAAAAAAAAAAAAAAAAAAAAGGGGAGGGGACAGTTCTATATCTTTCGTTCTACCGGCTCAATTAATGAAATTCAAATTGCATTTTCCATGTCTTGAAAGCCCGACTTCGGATATATATTAGATTTATATATAGCATCATTCTAACATAGGTATTTTGACACAAAATCGGACTTTTTCTGAAATGACATGCCATTTTTTTTCCGTATTTTGATTCTATGACTCAAATTATGCGTAAATTTTAAATTTTATAAAATTTGGTGCGAAATTTATGGAGAAATTCAAATATTTATCTTGGCATATATTTTTATCTTTCGCCAAGAATAGTTTACTTGGCTAACTTCTTAATTTATAGCAACCTATTTTCCTTTTCTTTTTTTTCATTGTAGAGGAGCAGGAAAAAAGTCATTCTTCAAACTTTCAAATAATTTTAACAAAGTGCATATTATTGTTTGGCATTATTATCGCTTATAAAATAATAAAAAAAAAAAGCAAGCAAGACAAATTTGAAAACACTCTAATATGTAAATTTATGTATATATTAGGAAATTTTATAAAAAACTAATTTTTTATAGGTTATAAATAAAAAATGTTTTTTGAAAACTTTATAAAAATATTTGAAAATACAAATTTAAAAAATAAATCATAAAAAATGTACGAACTATATTTGAATGAAGCCTAAATTTCGAATTCTGGAAGAAGGAATCAAGTAAGTTTAACAATAATAATAAAAAAAAAGATATTAGTAAATATATATCAAATTCAATTAACATTGAGGAGCTAAAATTTTGAGAGCAAATTTTTTAAAAACTTCTCATGCGATTATTACAAAACTTGGCAGTTTGGCATAATTTGAGTCTTAGAATCAAAATATGGAAAAACATTGGCATGACATTTCATAAAAAGACTGATTTTGTGTCAAAATACCTATATTAGAACAGTGCTATATACTATAAACCTAATACATGTATCCTAAGTCGCTCTTTTGAGACACGAAAAACGCAACTTGAATTTCTTCAATCGGCCCAATAGAACGGGAGTTATAGAACTGTCCCATTCTTTTTAAATTTTCCCATTCTTTCTTTCCAACTATGGTGGATGCACTAATATGTAAGTACATTTTCGTACTTACATATTAGTGCATCCTTCATAGTTGAAAGTCACTAAATTTTCAGAATGCACCAAATGCTTTAAACCATGCTGATAACAATTCTCCAGATTTGACATACAATGTTGCCATTTTCTAATGCCTTTATTTTATTATATTCCACAGGTTTTTGTAGTCAAGTCACATTTTTTGTCTTAAAATCGATTTTAAAGTGTGTACTTGTGGATTTTGCATGCAATGGAAATAAAAAAAAAGGGGGGGTGGGAAACTGTGGTAAAATATCTACAGAAATAAAGTATTTTACCGTGAACAGCTCTTTTTGATCCATCTGTAAAAGGATCAAGAAATTTCCACCATAATTAAAGGAACAAAATACACTTGTCAGTTTTATGAATTGACTTTGCAAGAATTACCTAAAGCATAAAATATGTATTGTACAATGAAGTTTTTTTTTTTTTTTTTTAAATTCTAAGTCCTTTTCTCTCTCTCTCTCTCTCTCTCTCTCTGTCTGTGTGTGTGTGTATGTGTGTAAGAAAATCACTAAATGTGTCTGGATGGTTGTACTAATCTGTAAGTACTGAGATTTTCATGAGTTTTGAATATAATAATAAATATCAGAAATTACCATAAATATGTGTGTGATCTTTTAGTGTTATCAATTCAGTTGAGTTCTAATTAAAATTTCCTTTCAGTTTTATAAAACACTGCATATATAAAAATTCATTGCATTAATTTTGAACACTTTTATATCTTCCTAATTCTAGTAAATTTTATAACTGGAAGGAATTTTCTTCCTTGAAGAATTTTACTTTAAATTAGACATTGATTGTGTCTAAAAAAACAGTATCTTAAAAATTGTTTCTGAAAATTTATTTCAGCATTGCATTTAGCATCTTTTATAAGTTGACAGGTTTAGCTTTGAAAATGTAGTACTGCACTTTAAAAAAAAAAAAATATTTAAGAGCAACAGAAATAAAATTGCGGACATTGAATATTCTTTCATGTAGTGAATGAAGAATTATTCTGCAATGTCATAGTGTCTGCTTCTTGTTTTAGTTTTCCTGAGGAATACAATGAATTAGTTAAGTAAGATTATGTTTGTCATGATTAATTTTTAGAGAAATGATAATTCTGCTGCATTTGAATTGTTATACATTTAGCAAAATTATTCAATTGTGTTTTGTCTAGAAAGTATAAATTTGAGATTCTTATTTATTTAAGGTGTAAGGTTATTATTTTGCATAACCATTAGTTTTATTATTTAGCTCTTTACTGTGACTTCTCTTTCTGTTTCCTCACCAGAATGCAAATTAAATTAATTATTTAAGCTGAGGTTGTCAGATTATAAGACAGAGCTTGTTTCTGCCGGTGTGCACGCATGTTGCGTTTGTCCCAGTTCTGGTAGCCTGAATCATTCAGCTTTGCATTATTGCTGCTGAGTATTTAAATGCTTACTGCAATTAGTTTTGTGAGCCAAGTTTGCATTAAATTGAAACGACTACTAGCTTATTTAAATTATATATTGATGCCAATTGATTTAAATTTTAAACTGTTACTTTAAGTTATCTTGCCACAGTGCTGGCTGGAGTTTTGTGAAACATGACACATACTTTTCTGTTAAAGTTTTGATTTAATAAAAAGGTAATTTTTAACCTTCTCAACACATTGTCATTATCTTCAAGCACAGCTATAATTTACTACAAATCTGTTTATGCTACCAAAGAGAATCAAACTCTATAAAGGTCTGTAAAATTTCTTGGTCTAAATGTAATTCTCTTAGGGTACTTAAAAATGAGTCACTAATCATAAAGATTAAATCATGAAGCAAATGAAAATATGCAATTCAGATTTTTAAATTTTTGAAAATGCAGTATAAATCTTTTATTATGCTCAAAATACTAAAATCGCAAACAAAGAATTTGCAATTTTTCCTAATTTAAATAATTTTGAAATATCTGATGGATTAAGCATGTTATCTGAATGAAAAGTTCTGATATTTCGGATACAGGTCCAGAATATTGCAAGGAAAATATTCTGATATTCCTCACTCAGGTTCAAAATATTGCAAATAGTATGACAAATAATGAAACAGCATTCATTAAGTGCACGATGAGTCATGCAAATATTGTGATTGCCATAATCATCTGTTTGTACTGTTATGCAGTGTGCATATGCAAAATTTAAATTTTACAGAAGCACAAGATTCTCAGTAGGAAACTAACTTCAATTCAAACTTCATTTTCAAACCTAATAATTTTTTTCTCAAAAATGGATGATGACATATTGTGAATTCACAGTATTTTATGGATTATGGAGGTAGATTTCACTTTGAGGACAGTAACAGAAAGAACTGTAGAAGACAGGCATACTAGTCTGTAATATTCATGCTAAAAAATCATTGCATTCTTAATAAAAGAACGGTTTAATGAATATTGAGTTTCATTTTCAGCCCATTTTTAGGAAAGCATTATACTGATGATACTAATATGTTACAGGTTAGATGCTATTCCTATATTATGCGAGAGATTATACAGACAGTATAATCGGACATGATGAACTATTACTGCATATGTCCTCTATTTTTAGAAACTTCATTTATTTTCTTGTTTCATAACATTTTTGGTAAGAATTGTATGATTACCTGATGAGGGGGCAGAATATGGATGTCAAGATGTTGCCTCCATATTTTCTAGATTTAAAGCAGATAATTTGTGGCAGGTGGTATGTTTCAAAGATAAAAGGTTTGCTAAGCCAGATTTTATGGTTGTTAGGCATTTACTGTCATTCTATTTGAAATGTTGTATGTTATGAAAGATAATGAAAAGTTTTATTTTTTTGTATATAACTGCAGTAGAAGACTGACATGTTGAGCACACCTTATAAATTTATTCATATAATTATTTTGTTGTAAAATGTCATTTTTTCCAAGGTGATGTCAGTTTAAACTAACTTTTCTGCCATTATTCTAAACTAAATTTAATAAATCTTTCTTTAGAATTTTCTTTAGCAAATTCTTTAGGTGGTGCCAGGTTAATAATAACCCTTCTAAGGGTACAAAACATGTTATTAAGTTATAATAAAGTTTCTACAATTATTTTAAATATTAAACTTTATTTTAAAAAGCTCTTAATAATATTTCCTTATAAAATATTTCAGAATTACACTTCAAAAGCAGGAATAAATCATCATTTATAATATATCTAAACCTGCAAGTCAATGAAATAATTTCTTCTGCCCTTAAAATTACATTTGGACAAATGAGTTTTTGTCTGAAGGTCATTGATGTATTTTATTTCTTTGTTAATTATTGTTAAGGTCTTTTATAGTCGTTATTAGCATATCTAAATGGTATTTCATATCTAATCTTCTGTTTATTTATTAAAACCTTTTTCTAGGGTGGCACTCTTATTCAATATGAAGGCAAGTTACGATTATTGGAAATAGCCCAAGTGCCCAAAGATCATGTGAGTCCATTTCAAAAACATTTCAGATGGTTTTTTTTATTTCATAATTTTCTATATTAGTTAAACTTCATAAGCTGCAGAATAGTTTAAGTATTCAATAATTTTGACATAAAAATTTAAAAAATCATTTGTTATATTTACTTGACTACATATTATAATATGAAAACTGGATCAAGAATTCTTATTGCTTTATGTCTTGTAATGATTAAAAAATTGAGTTTTATATGCATTATACTTTTTGAGTTCTTTACATTTTACTTCCAAAATTCAAAAACTGTTTTTGGTGATAAATATTTTTTTTATTACTGCAGGTTGATGAATTCAAGAGTGTAAAGAAATTTAAGTAAGTTAATTAATATTTTTTGTGAAATTCATTTGTTATTTTTTAATTAGACCTGATAACTAATTTAAAAGTTAAACACCAAAATTTAATATGTAGTAGCATCATAAAGTATTTTTTGTAAATTAACAAATTATTATGATTTAAATAATAATTTGTTATTTAATTTATTTTCCTAAAAGTAATTTTAATACTTAATTATGGTAGAAAGTCAGAGATCGGGATTTCAGAATCTTGCATTGAACAGATTTTGGAATTTGCTTGTTTTAAATTATCCATTTAAATCATCTAAGAAGGACATTTAGAAATTATAAAATTAAAAATATCAGTAGTTTTTTTATGAAATAATGAAGCATTTATGACCTTAAGGGAACCAAAATTAACAACAACAAGGCTGAATATTCATTTGCTTACTTTATTAAACATAATTTTTTCAATGCAAGCTGTTAGAGTTATTTCATTTTTTGTTTTGTTATTTCATTCAATTTAATTTTATGGATAGACATAAATTCTTGTACAAAGTTCCATCATTCAAGTCTAGGAACTGCCATTTTGAGAATTCTCAATAAATTGTCATTCAAAAGTTTTTCATTCTCAGCAGCCTCTGTTACTTCCTTTATTATCAGTATTGATATTTTCTGGACTTAGAACCGTACTACAGATTTTGTCATCCTTTGTTGGCTGGTAATTGGGACATTGTCATCGCAGAGGAAAACTTCTGTTATATCATCTTTATTTATTACTTTTCCACAAATTCCATTAATTGGAAAATTTTGCTTTTTGTTTGCAATATTGAAAAACATTCTAATTCACAGCTGTCATCACCCCTCAGGGCTCACTTTTGTGAGTATGAGTGTGGCAATCCCGAGGTACCCTAGCCCTTCAGGGAGGGAATCATCTTCTTGGTGAGACAGGTGTCACGATCCTGGAGCCCCAGTGATCTATTCTCTTTTCCGTCTCCTTTCTTCTTGGCTGGAACTTTTTCCCTTCCCTTCCCCCTTGTGGTTTCTCTCTTCAGAGTTTGGGGCTCGTCACAAGAGACTGGAACAGCCCTTATCTCTAGTTTTTGAGTGGCAAGAAAACTGTCCACGTGTTTGCCGTGCGTGGAGACCCGTGTCGCTGGAAAGGAGGGTCCTGGTAGTTGAGGGGCGAGGTATTGTCCCTAACATACTGCTTTGGCCTCTTCTTCAGATAAACAGGAGGCACCTTAGTCGTCCTCACGGGTGTCAATCGGCTGGTCACTAGCCCTTGTGTCAGTAGCTTGGGGGATAAGCTCTCGGGAGTACCTGCTTTCGGGAAAGCCGGCTGTGGGGCTTCAGTTTGCGTATAGGTCCGGCTAGCCCTAACACAGGAATCTGTGTTCCCTTGTTGGGCTCTGTGGTGGGCGGGGCCGTCGGACCCGAACCTATTCTTCTTAAATATGGCTAATTCTAAAATATACTTAATTAAAGACTTCGAAGTCAGTCCCGTCGCTCTAAGCGCTAGTCCTGAAAAATCTGCTAAAAAAGTATGTATAGATGCAAATGCTAATAATCCTAACAATAGTCCCTGTTTCCTTGTTGTCTCCAGTTTAAACCAGTCCACATGTTTTAAACCAGTCCTTCTGGCGAGCTTCAAAAGATGTCTCCTTTTGTTATAAATAAATATATCCATTCTTGTATTGGTGAGCCCAGAAATATTAAGCGTCTCCACTGTGGAGACTTGCTTATTGATACAGCTTCAGCCACCCAGTCTGCTTCCTTACTTCAAATAACCAAACTTGGTAAAGCAACTGTCACTGTAACAGGGCATAAGACATTGAATTATTCTCATTTCGTAATCTCGGAAGTCGACCTTCTGTCTGTTTTTGAAGGAGAGTTCGTTTCCGAGTTAGCTGATCAAAAGGTTTGTGCTGCAAAGCGGATCAAGATGCTTAAGGAAGGTCAGTTGATTGACACGAAACACGTCATCCTGACCTTCAAGTCACCTGATCTGCCGAAAAATATCAAGGCTGGATATCTTAACTGCCCCATAAGACCGTATATTCTAAAATCCTATGCGATGATTCCAGTGCCAGCGTTTCGGCCATTCCAAGATGTCCTGTCATGGGAACCTGACGTGCGCTCGATGTTCGTTGGTTGGCCACGATAGCGAAAATTGCACTGCTGCGGCACTGTGTATAAATTGCAAAGGTGACCATCCAGCATTTTCCCGATCATGCCCAAAATGGAAAACAGAAAAGGAAGTACAGATGTTAAAAGTCACTAGGAACATCTCGTATGCTGAAGCCAGAAAACTAGTTCAAAGCACACAGCTCCAATCAAACAAATTAACACATACCATTACCACTCAAACCTCAATAAGTACAGAGACTGCACAAAATAAAACCCAGCAACCTGCAAGCAAGAAAAAGGAAAATCCAACACACGTTGTACAAAATAAAGAAATAGTTATTCAAAGCAAACCAAAAATTGTCCCTTCAAAATCAATTAACAAAAATAGAAGTTGCAGCGATAGTTCTGTAGATGAAATGATTTCTGAATCTGCAGATTTAGATAGTATGGAAGTGGAAGAGGGTATGGAAGTCCCCGAACATCTGCTTCCGCGCAAAACTAAAAAGCAACACAGAAAGATCAAACATCAAACATAATGGCCACCCTCGTCTCATGGAACTGTCGCGGTTTCCACCGAAATTTCCTTGACATCAAAGCTGTGATCAATGCTTATCAACCTGTGTGTTTGGCAATGTAAGAGACAAATCTGAAACCAGATCAACATGCAAAACTTCGGAGGTTTTCTCTCATCAGGAAGCATAACCTTGCAGGTGAGCGTGCCAGTGGAGGTGTATGTCTCCTCACCTCACTGGATTATCCCTCAAGTTCCTTTCGTTTGACGACATCCCTCCAAGTTGTCGCTGTACAAAGTAAATTTTGATATTCTGTTTCAGTCGTTTCTCTTTATTTGCCTCCTAATGAGCACATTGATCAGCAAGATTTAAATGATCTTGTAGAGCAGCTGCCTGAGCCTTTTATCATAATAGGTTGATTTTAACGGCCATAGTCCACTCTGGGGAAGTAAAGATACCAATTGCCGAGGAAGACAAATTGAGCAGATGATCGAAGATCATAGCCTTTGTCTCCTGAATAATGGGCAGGAAACATACTTCCATGAGCCTTACAAGGACATTCCACGCTCTCGACCTTAGCCATCTGTTCACCATCTCTGTTGCCATTTTGCAACTTTTAGTGTCGGAAAGTGACCTGTACAACAGCGATCATTATCCTCATTTTTGTGTCTCTTGCACGAAGAGAAGCAAACCCCATGTCGAGACTTCCTCGGTTTACACTAGATAGGACAGGCTGGGAACTCTTCTCTTCCACTGCAGAGCTTGCACAGAAAATGGTAGAAGATGTGCTTATTGATGATGCAGTGGAAGCAGTTACAACTGCTATAACTCAGTCAGCTATGCTTCTCCATCCCTAGAACATCAGGAAAAATACTAAAATTTTCGAAACCATGGTGGAATCGTGACTGTCGTGAAGCGCTAAAAAAACAGAAAAAAGCGTGGGGAATTTTTCGTAGGTATCCTACTCTGCGAAACCTCATAGCTTTTAAAAGACACTTAAAAGATTTATAAAGACTCATATAGTGCTCTTAAATTGTTGGAAGCTTTTCAAAACACCCAGAATCCTGTGGTAGTGGATGTTCTCAAAATTCATATAAACTTAACGATTCAAGGATATGAAATCTTGTACTGCTTGGTTCCTGGTCATGCGGGAATAAAGGAAAACGAGCTTGCAGACATCGCAGCAAAGGTCTGCTGTTGAACTGTCCAGTCGCCTCATCCCTTATAGAGACATACACTGTGTGATCAAGGGGAAGATCCGAAAAAAATGGCAGCAAATTTGGGACGTTCAGCTTCACAACAAGTTAAAAAATGTCAAGCCTAGAATTGAGCATTGGGACTTTACTGGAAATCGTAAAGAGGAAGTTCTTTTGACTTGCCTCAGAATTGGTCACACTAGAGTGACACATAACTATCTTCTGAAAGCTGAAAATGAGCCTATTTGTTTTTCATATTTTAATTGAGTGTCCATGTTTTAATAGTCTTCGTCAGAAATATTTTAATAGCTGTGACTTATCTCTCCTTTGATCGGAAGAGAGGTCAATTGTAATTTATTTTATTATTTAAAAGAGACTGGCTTTTATTACCTAATGTAATTTATTTTGAAGATTGTGTCTTGAATTTTAATGTGTGTTTTTACCTTGTTTTTATATGACTTCATCCACTGGATTTGGTACATTTGTGCACTTGTTTTATTTATTGTATTTTAATTTCATCAATTGTAATCATCCCATCTTGTGTTTGGCGCGGTATAATCATCTTTGGTTTTGCACCATAACCTCTCACTCTCTCTCTCTTACAGCTGTCATCATAAAGCATAGCTATCGTCCACTATACACTCTTGGAAATGTATCATGAGACTGGTGATTAGAGACATGTAGGTCTGCTAAATGTTGTGGTGCTTATGTTATACATAAGTTAAGCCTGAATTATATTTAGCTATTTATTATACTTGCATTCATTTCCCACATGTGCTTATGGCTTATCTGAATCCTGAATAAATTCCCACGTAAACTTCAGACTTATCTGGACAACAAATCAATTGTTCTTAATTAAGCAGTACTAAATTTATCTTTTGACCTATGAATATCATTTACAAAATGTATTTTTTGCATATAGAAAGGAATTTCTCCTCATCATTACACTCAACACTTTGCAGTCCAGTTGGCTGAAATCTGTAAATATCTACCAAGCATGACATAAACGTAAAAGGTTACCATGCTGCTTGGTATTCATTTATTAATATTACCCCCCCCCCCCCAAAAAAAAAAAAGAAACTGAAGATCTCACACTCTTCCTGTTTCCCAAGAGTGGAAATCATTTTTTTATTCTAAAAATTCGTAACATCAGTTTGGTGCCCACTGGATGCTGCGCCCAAGGACAAATGACCCCTTAGCTCCCCTATAGCTATGCCTCTGGAATCCTCAAAATTCTCTAATCTTCACAACTGTTAGTCCCAAAATCTATGGATTAATAAAATTCTACTATAATAGGAATTAATAAGATGGCTAACTGCCTACTCACTCCAAAGCCTAACTGCCTATTCAGTCTAGTATGCTTGCTACTAAAATACTAAAATATTGCAGTTGTTTCTCTCATTTATCACAGTATAACTACAGATGATGAATAGCTATTAAGAGATGCTTTAATAATATTGAATATTTTTAGGGTAAATGTGTGTACCAAGTGCCTCTTGAGTTACAATAGGATATTTTCCTGAAAATATATGAATCGGATGAATGATGCATATATAGTAGTAGTATTAGTAATGATAATAATAACATAATGGCTTATGAGTCGTAATTATTGTTATGAATTTTGTATATAGTTAGATAATTTTAGTAAAATTATTTGTAAAATGGTTGTACAGAGGCTATTCACACATTTTTTAGATGATGTATATTGTATTCACAAAACTAAATTGCATAAAATTCTTGTGTTTTAAATGTTCTATTTGACATCCCTTATTCTGAACTAGTTTTCGACACCGCAATTTCCAGGATAATAATGCCTTTTGAAGTGGCAGAAGAGGTATTCTATCCCATTCCTCCCGAACAGCTTTCCAGAGTCCTGTTAGGGTTATGGGACAACGTGTGGATAATGCAGTTTTTAAAAGTCCAAAAGCGCAAAAATCCATAGGTGACACATCGGGAGATTTAATAGGGATATCAGTGAAGGGTATGGCCTTGATACCAGTTTTTTTGTTCCATTTCTTTTAGGAAATTCACAGTGGATTTTTTATGTGTGACTGCTGGCTTTGTCCTGATGGAGTCTCACAGATTGATGGCACTGTGGGTAAAGTGATGGTATTTCATTCAAAAAAATTGGCGATAAAATATGTTCCTGATAGTATTTGGAGTTAATCTTGACATTTTTTTTTGCACTCTCTTTATTTTTAACTTGCCATTATAAGAAAAACCAGCAACAATCATGAATCCCTTAGAAGAACTTTCTTTCGATTCTTTGAACCATGTACTTAAATTTTTTTCTCCCCTTTTATGATAATAAATGGCTCTTTTTTTGTTACAATCATTTAAATACACCCATGCTTCATCTATCGTAACAATTGTTTTCCATTTTTCTTTGGATAAGTGTTTCTCATATAGAATTTTGCAGCGTGTCCTGTGTTGAGCGATATGCTTTGGAAGAAGACGATGCACATTGTGTTTTTTCGCTTTCTTAAGATTTAAATCAATGTTTATTATTTTGTTTACAGTGGACACTGAGCATTTTAATGATTTTGCGACTGTCCTTTGACTAGGGGGATTTTCTTTTAACATTAAAAAACGTACTTTTGCAATAGTCGAAGATGTCCGTTTTTTCCTTGGATACTTGTTTGGAATTTTTGTCCCACTTGAGGCTCCAATTTGATGTTTTTTCCCTTTCTTGTTGATGATATTACCTATCGCCGCTTTAGATATCACAAAACCATGACTCTCACATCATTTTTGGATAACGGAGTATGCATATTTCTCTTTGGAAAGAACTTAAATGTAGCCTTCAAACCACTGCTTTGTTAAATTCGCCGGGTTCAATCCCTGTATGATGTTAATGGGTATTGCAATTGAGTAATTATAATTGATGCTCCACGTAACTAACCATACTTAGGCCTCATATGCCTTTCAGTAATTTTGAGAAGCAGAAAGTACTAGAAATATCTCAGAGACCAAGTGAAAACTATATAAGACCAGTGAGAGCATCTGCTCTCAGTTGTTAGTTCAGTGTGAGTTTGAAGTACTGAGATATCTCTGCATTAGTTTCGCTCTGTAGTTGTGCATTGTGTTTAATATTCTTAGTAGTATAAAGTGTAACTACTGATTATACTCTGTGATATTGTGAAGAGTTGTGTGACTATTTCTGCAGAAAGTTCCAGAACTGTGAAGTTTTTCTTTTGGTAAAATAAATTTTATCAAGCTGTTATCAATTCTGTATGCATTCACTCTATTATGAACCTGTATGCATGCAGCAGTATAAATAAAATGTTATGATACTTTTATAATAATTTGCTGAAACTATTATTACTTTAATTCAAGTTTGCAGAACATGAAACAAACTGGATTGCAGAAAATCTTTGATACCATATCATAAAACATTTCTGAATGTGCTTATCATTCAAAAGAAAGGTCATCAAATGCAATTTTAAAATCTTCAATATTTAATAAGTGAGCAGAAAACCGTGCTCGCTTTTATTTGTTTACATTTCGTAGCTGACCATATTTCGCCTTGGATCTTTGAGCGGTACTGCTCTGAAATATTCTCCTTCGTTTCAAAAGTTGTCGTTATACAAGTACGGATGCTCAAATGGAAGCTTATTTCACGTTCCTTTCCCAACTGGCCACTGCGTTTACAATGCAAAGGACTGTTCAGACAATCAGGCCAAGGATGCATCCTGTTAGGTTTGATTACAGCCTTCTCGAATGTGTATTACAAATGACATCACTGTGCTATGATATGGGCGTGTTTTTCATCTGGAAGAAGATCTTTTCTCCTTTGGTTAAGTTTCGTGATATGACAATTTTGGAAACAGCGAAGAAACAAATGTGTGTCTTCAATGTTCTGTGTTTAGTATTCGTATCCACAAGGTATCTATTCATACTCAATCAACGATGTTCTACAACTTTGTAATTAACTTTTTCTTCCTATCTTGTATTGTTTTCAAGATACTCTGCCGTTTTTCACCAGGTGGTGCTGTAAGTTTTCTTATCAAGTAGCGCACAGCTACTTTACTATACCTAGGCACCAATTTCTGAATATAGCTACAGCTGTTCGGCAGTTAAACAGGTGGTATCAGACTTTATTGGGCATTCTTCTATTTCAGTACATATATTTTTCAGTCTATTGATTTGGCTTTAAAAAGTGTTACCTATTACCTTTTTTCGAAATTTACAGTTCCATGGCTTTAATTTTTGCAATTGATTTTAATCATACACTTCTAATTACAGAAGTGGTTTAAATGATGAAAATATCCATGTTTTGGGAATGTCAAATTAAAAAAGTTTATTTATTTTGCACCCTACCCAACATATATATATATATCTGAATATAAATAACAAGACAAGAATAATTCAAAGTACAGTAATGTGCATAATTTGTTTAATACGTACACAACATATGTACAGAGTGCAAATGAAGTCACACATAATGCAATGTGATGCTTCATACTAGTACTTGATTGTACCGAAAGTAACAATATGATACTCATGAGTACTGGTTGTTTTTGTAATGAATACAAATAGGTACACAAATTATTGTTACTTTTACAGCACTAGTGTAAAATAAAAATAACGTCTTCCCATCACTGACTGCCTACTCATTCTATTGTGCCTGCTCATGCACTAGGGGAATCAATGATGGTTGCCAACATAGTTTTTTTTTAAATTAAATATAAGTTATCATGTCTATAGATTGCTGTTACATTTATTTTTATACTTGTATTTTAATAGAATTTTCAATACAAATAATTTGTGGATTAAACTAGAAGGCATTGCTCGACTAGTAAAAGAAGGAGGCCTTGATATGGAAATAATTGTTAATCTGAAGGTATTGTATTATTTAAGGCATTTCCATTAAATATAATCTAAAATTTCATATTTAATATCCTTAAACTTAGCTCTTAATTTGTATCTGCAGAAATGAAAACACTAGAGCTGTATGAAAAATATAGACTTGATTTTTTTAACATGGGAGTTGTTATAGTACAGATTTCAAAAACTATCTTATCAGTTTGGTGAATCTATAAAAATTATAATTCCCATCCCCACCTTTGTGAAACTCCTATTATCAAAAAAAAAAAAAAAAAAAAAAAAACGTTGAAAATATATCAATACTTTTTAATATTTACTTTTCTGAGGATGTATACATTTTTACAGTCAAAAGTCGTTAATTCGGACACCCATAATACGGACCTCAAAGCTAAAAACTTTCTGCGCATGCGCCACGTTGACACATGCGCATAAGACCTTTATGACTGCGCATATGCGTGTGCGCAAGTGCAGAATACGTTTTCGCGTTTAATGTATAACGGACGGTATAAGCTAAAATTATCTAATTATCTATTTCAGTTAATGTTGATGATTGCGTTGTTCCTTAATCTTCGAATTGGATACGGCTTATTATTTTTTGCAAACTGTAAGAGCAATTTTATAAAAGTAAACTTGAACTTTCGATTATGTCAAATAGAATTTCCGATGCTGGAGCTCCCAAAGGATCTACAAAATGAAAGTATGTTTCGATGTCCATCAAACAAAAAGTGGAATTGCTGCCAAAAATGAATAAAGACATGAAGAAGGTGACAGAGAGGTTAGTGAAAACGAAAAAATTTCGATTGACAAGTTAGTCGGTATTCTCGGCACAGCAATTACGGGACTTGAACAGCAGAACTTTGTAGCTGAACAAGAAATTATGTCTGTTTATAGAATTAAAGAGAAAGTATTATCACATAAAACGAAGCAACTTAAACAACTTACATTGAAATAAATATTAAGCTTTTTTTTTTGTAAATTTTGATACCCTTTAGATCATAATTGTTCTTTATTTCATAAATTACGGTTTCATATTTTTAATTTTAGAATTTCTGCATGCCATCTTACGAGATTTAAACTGATGATCTATAATCTGGAAAAATCGATAATCCGGAATCGCCGAAGTCCCGACGAGTCCGGATTAACAACTTTTGACTGTATTACAATGTGTAAATTTATATGGAAAATTAAAAATCATTAATTCATTGTAATTTTACTCTTTTAAACTTATCTACTTTGAATTGTTTTAGGTAACAATAATGTCAAAAATAAAAATAATAATGATAAAAAATTTGAAAGGGTTCAGATGTTAAGGTCACTCAGAAGAGCTTTTTAGCTTATCTGTAGAGATTATCAATAAAGATGGCACTGGTGGAATAGTGAAATATTTGATAGATTAGGATACTAGATGAATATATATTGAGACTAATATGGAAAATTATATATCTTCTGTATATTTGATTTGAAAAATGAAGATGTATATAACATAATTCTATAAAAATATTTAATTAGATATAATCATGATTTAAATGCATTTTTATTTAAATCAATGAGATTAAAATGTTACAAAATCATATTCTCAAGAACTTATATTTTTGTTTTTGAATAGCGTAGTGTGTTAATCATTAACATACGGATTAAGTTTGACTGATTTTACTTTGCCAAATGGCAGAAGACTCAAATGAAAAGTGAAGAAGAATGCATTTACAGTAAACAACACAAAACATTTCAAGACTACTTTTGGGCTAATTGGATAATTATTTTAGTTTTTAATTTTGTATTTCAACATGGTATTGAAAATGTTTTTTAAAATTTTGATTTGATTTTCTAGAGAAGATGCAGGAATTCTAGAGTTCCATAGAATACAATTTGAAGACCACTGCTCTTTTTTTTTTTTTATTTTTTTTTTTATTTATTTAAGTTCAACTCTGCAGTATTCATGTAATTTGCAATCTACTGCTTTGAATTAGTTATTTAATTTTTTAGATGGCAACACTAAAATTGATTGTTGTTTTAATCATTTCTTTTCCCCACCATTCTATTACCCATTTGAATTTAAAAATAGAATTTTAATTGCACCATCTAAGAATGAAAGAACTAATTAAAAGTGATAGTTACATGGTTATCAATTCTGCTACATCAATCAAAACTGTAAATTAATGGTAAAACAAACTTAAAGCAACAAAGCATTATTTAAACTTGTTGTTCAGATTTGCAATTGTACAGATGCCTGTGTGTTTGTGTAACTGTAAAGTTAAGTTTAAGATCCAAATAAAGCAAGAATTATGATCAAATATCTGAATTTTATTGGATTTTTAATGTAATTGGAATAATAATGTAAAGATTTTGCTTAGATGTTTGATAGAATTAAAATTGCTGCTCTGCGATGGATGATTTGTTAGTCTGGTGAAGCAGTGAAGCATGCTGTAAATTCAAGAATATTTGAATATTTTTAAATATAGAGAATTTAGGTGATTAAACTTAATTTTCACAACTAATGCATGAAAAAGGCTTCTGCACAATGCACATAATAGTATGATATGATTTTATGATTTTACTTGAGAGTTCCTAACATATAAAAAGTCTACATTTCATAACCTTTTGAGAGATGATTTTTTAAAAGATATTTAACTACATGGGTTTCACACTATACTTGTGTTCTTCACTTTTTATTGATGAAAAGTAAGGAATACTTGAACAGCACAAGTACAGCTTCTGTTATGAGCAATATAGGTATAAGTTCTTTAATTAATATACTAAAGATATCATATTTATATCTTTATATTTGCAGTAGTGCTTTTTTCTTTAAAATTTAAAAATGTGACCTATTCTCCATTTAGTTGGCTAAATGAAGAAAAGGTCATCATCTCTTCTAAATTTTTAGCATTAGCTGGTATTAGAAAAGTTTGTAACCTAACATATGTTAACAAGACACAATAACACGCCGAATAAATACTAATTCAGAAGTCAAACAACAAAAAGTCAAACAACAAACTTCATTTTATTCCTATGTTTTCCGTGCTCTTCAAGTTTGCTCCTCCAAACTAGCCCTTGATGAAGAACTAAATTATTTAAAAGCAATAGCTATTGACAGGGGCTTTTCACCCAACATTATTAATCAAGCAGTTAAAAAATTCTCATCTCAACACACTAAAAGCCACACTCTTATTTTAGGAGATTATAAAAATTCTGTTGTCATTCCCTTCTTTCCATCAATTAGCTATAAAGTTGCACATATTTTGCAGAAATTTAACTTTCGGGTTGTTTACTCTCCCATCAATAAAATTCCAACTTCTATACTCAAGGACCCCATTCCAGATATGAATTCCTGGGGTATTTATAGGATTCCTTGCCAGTGCGGTTTAATTTACATTGGCCAAACTAAGAGAGCCTTAAAATTTTGCGTCAAAGAACATGAGGCATATGTTAGAAAAAAGGAAACAGAGAAGTCTTCTGTTGCTCAACATTGTTGGTCCGAAAATCACACTTTCAATTTTTCTGCTGCCAAAATTATTCAAAAAACATCTTCCATTGGAGAACTGGATTTTCTAGAGGCATTTCACATTCATAAAAATCTTTCTGTTCTAGTTAACGATCCTAATTCCAATCCAAATTTGCCTTCGGCTTTTAGAGAAATTATGTTTTAGTTCTGGTTTCGCCAACAGATGGCGCCACTTGCTTATTCTTGTCCAGGCTTTCTTATCTTATCTAAACATTATTTCCTATCTTGTTCATTTGCGGTTTTGCAGCTGAAGATGATGGTTCGGTAAAACCATCGAAACTAGTCCTGTGAAAATTTTGTAAATTAACGCTGATTTTTGTTGTTTGACTTCTGAATATGTTAACAAATTTATTATAGCATGAAATATTTTACTGTGTAAAAGAAGATGAGTAATTTTAAGGAAATTGTGGCACTATTTAGGAATTTTTGAAAAGTCTGTTGTGAGACTATATTAGACATCATGTTTTTAAATCATGGGTTTACTTCTATAATCTAGCATTCAGTACAATGTTCTTAATTCAATAGCTTCTCACTTTTCCAAACTTATACAGGCTGCTAAATGATTTGTAAAATCGAGACTTCATAAATGGGAATTAAAAAACATCAGAAATGCAATTTGCACTTGCCTTTATTTGTTAAAGATAGATAAAATTACTGATTATGAGTGCTTCATATTTACTCTTTGATTAATATTTGAATGTGTAGAGTTAATGGTTGCAAAAATCTCAGAATGTTTATTTGCTTAAAAAAAATGTGACATGTTCCTAATAGTCATTCTGTGCATTATTTAAAATCTCAGAGTGTCCGCTGCACATGCTTTTTCTTTGTTAGACTGTCTGTGGCACTCATATTCAACACTTGATCAATAATTTCATCACTGGATAGTTCTTCCATTGCATATATTCTCATCTATGCATTCAGAAAGCTCTGAGAAATCTGGTCATCAGGAACTTTTTGGTTTTTCTCTCAACATTCTTGCTACAAGCTTTTTTACTAATATCAGACTCATTCTTGCTTATTTTTTGTAAGTTTATTTAATTTTTAATAAACTTTGTGTGCTGAAATTGATTGCTGTTGTTGCTTATTCCATAAATTAACTAGTGGATGCATTGCATCAAATACATTTGTGTCATATTGTTATGGTTCTCTTATCCATTGGCACAAAACTGAAACAGCATTTGATGCAGAAACTCTTTGGATGTCTTCTACATGAACAATACAGTATCCACTGCAAGGAAAAGTTTTATGCTTTGTTTCTGAAAAATTTTATTTCAGCTCTCATTTACTTCATATAAAGCATCCATGTTTTATTGTTTGCATAATATGTTTGGTTGGGTCACTTATTACTCAAGTGAACGGTGGTCAAACATTGAAGCAAGTCTGAAATGGTTACATCAAAGTCAATCAAAAATCAAGGTAATACTGATTGTTTTCTGCTAATGTCATAACAATGTACATCATGCATTTCTAACTATGGGCCAAACTCTTAGCAAAGACTATTTTTTGAGTATTTTACAATATTTGCATGATGTAATTTGTAGAAAATGATCTGAATAGCAGCAAAATAACTCACAGATTTTGCACTATGATAATAATCTGCTAATAGTGCTCTTGTCATGAAATTTTGGTTCCAAATTAAAAAAGAAAGCATTATCCAAATTTAGTAAAGAAGGAATTGGGAATATTTCAACCTCTGCATTTCATAATTTTGGATTAATTAATAATTTTTTTTTGCTAAAGAAGCAAAAAGCAAACTTAAGCATTAAAAACCTGAAAATGAGTAGAAAATTAAAACAACATATAGCAATTAATTAAGTTTTAAATTTCTGTACTCTATTATTAAAAGTTATTATTTAATTAACCTCTTTAAAAATTTGTATTGACAGTTTTTCAAGAATAATATAATTTGAAAAAGTGGAAAAGGGAAGATGATTAACTAGGTGAGGATTAATTAATAATTTTTGTTAAAAAACAAGAAGGAAACTTAAGTATTCAAAAACAGAAAATGAGTAGAAACGTTAATGCTGTGTATAGAATAATTTTAATATGTATAACATAATTTGATATGTATAACTGTATAACATAATTTTAAATTTAGGTACTTAACTAAAGGGTCATATATTAGGTAATCAGGTCATGATATCGGGTCAGATACTTTCTTTTATAAAGTTTTGTTAGCAGTTTTTCATGAAAACTATAATCTAGAAAAATTAGAAAAGGGAAGTTATTGCATGAGGTTTACCTATATCAAAATTGTTTAAATAATTATGAAATTGTAAAATTAATTTCTTTCATGTTTGTTAATATGATACTCATTTAGTAAAAATAAGGTCTTGTTATGTTTCAGTTTTCTGTCTTCTTAAAGTGTATCAACATTTTGATGTACAAGCTGCAGTTAATCGTTTGGATATTTGATTGGTTAATTGTTTGAATTCCTAAGAGGAAACATGTCAAGGGGTAGCTACATAACATTTCAGCAGTGGATTTGTATTTATTGGATTATGCCAAAGCACAGTAGGGCTATCTGCCTCAGGGAAGAGATGCCTTTGGAGGAGGAGGTGGATCTAAAAATTCTCTAAAAATTATCCATGTTTGTGATATCTAGTCCTGCTGATGAATTGCAAAAGATGTCCCCTTTTTCTGTCACATAAATACATATAATCAAGTGTAGGTGAGTGTAGGTTTTCATTTAGATATAGGTCTTATTCAAGTGTAGGTCTTCTCCAGGTTCTGACACTAATTTTGAAATAATCTATGAAAGATCTGCAGACAGGCAGATCTGTAGACTTTAAAGACATTTCATACTGACATCTTGACTCTTTATCTAAATTTTCTAGCATTAAATTGATTAACATTATTTCGGTTAACTGGTTAGGTTCTAATTCCATTTATTTTAGTGCGTGCAGATGCTTGTGCACTCTTTCAGTTAATTTTCAATTAATTTAATTTCAATTCAATTAATTTTCAATTACTGTGGGGATTCTTGATGTATTTTAGGTATTGATAATAGTTTGGTAATGTGGTCATTGATTATTAACTGTTTATTTTCAAATCTGGCTATAACCGTTTTCCACAGAGATTCATAAGTATTGTCTGTAGTTTGAATCTTGTTCGCCTTACTGATAAGAGCCAACTGCAAGTAATGTAGTTTTTGTCACTCACTGAAATATTTATTTGTCATCAATTATTGATTTAAATTTAACTTTAAAAAGAAACCATTCTTGTTTAACAACAATGTTAATTTCCATTGAATTTAGGCAAGGGAATCTCTAGCGAGTTTAACTGAACTTTATTTGATGGCACACTATTAGAAATACTATAATTGCTATGAGGCTTAGTGCCCAGTTTCTTTAAAAAAGCATCTTAAACTTACCTAAATTTTTTTAGGTCAATCTCTATTTCTGAGAAGATAGTTTTATGCTCTTCATAATTGTCATCCTTTAAAACACCATAAAATTCATCTTGAAATTGTGTTTTTCTAATAACATATATTACTATAATCAAAATGTACTAGGAATGATTTATTTAAAATAATCACATACAAAAAACTGCTTGCAAATTTTTTCTAAAGTTATTGTGACTTTCATCTACACAATAACAATAAGTTCTTCAGGTTTATTTGAAATGATTTTAAAGTTGTCGAGCTTACATTCGAGTTCTTTAGTATCGTCCTTTGGTTCATTATTAGGGCAATTGTGTTATTTGAGCATTCAGATTACCTCTTCTTTGAATAAGAACAGTGATACCTGATGACACCATTTTCCTAACATTAGCTAGTTTCTTAAAAAACAAAAATAAAAAAAATTAGTTCAGGTATTACCGAGATTATTTGGCTGGTCGGACCACAGTTCTGGACTGTAACTAAGAAATAACTTCTTTTGAAATTAATCTTTCATTTATTCTCGATCTAACCGCTCAGTTGGTATCCATTCAAAAGTAAAACAAACATCAGTGTTATCAGTTATATTAAACCAACTTGTATCAAAAAGAAAAAAACTAGTATATTGTCACATATACACTACATCATTCATTTCTAGGCAATGACGGCAAAGCATCCAGACTTTCAGGTGCTTACACTACATATTGACTCAAAATTAAAATTTTGTATTCTATAAAATCAGTCTCAGTACTTTTGGATCAAAGTAGTAAAATGGAAGCTTTTCTGAACCTGTTGTGTTTGCTCAATATAATATTGTAATACTTTGTTTGGCTCTGTTTAGCAGAGAGAAAATACTGCTGCACATATTATTATTAAAAACAAATGTTTTATGTGTATTCTGAAAACAAACTACTTTCATCTGCATCAAACACATGTTCCTCTAAGAATTTCCAAAGCAGCTGTTTTAGCTTTTCTTTTATCTCTCAGTGACAAATTTTATTTCTGCATTTTCATTGCAAACTTTCTGTTGCCTTGTTACAGCATAAGTTTCTGCAACAAGCTATTTGATCCTTTTAAATCGTTCAAGTCTATCTCCTAGGAGGAAAAAAAATTAGCTTTCTCATTCAAGAGATTCCCATTTGATGGAGATACTTTTGCTTCTCTTCCTTCACCTCTGGAAATTTTGTTTGCTTGAATACAGCTGATAAAGATTATATGCGTAAAGAAGGAACTTTGGAAGGGAATCACATTCATTTTTATATTACAAGAGGAAAATGGATACTTTCTGGAAATATTTCAGGGCAGATACAAATCTTTTGTCTAGCTTTGGCTATAGTACCTGATCAATTCTTTGGAATCTAGTACATTTTTATGATTTCAGTTTTCAACAAGACTCAAACATCCACTTTTGTCTAATTTTTTTCTTAACATTCACAGATAAACACATTTCCTTTTTGCTTGTGCTGATCAGGAAATCAAATTTTTCACCAAGTGAAAAGATGAAAATCATACTAGTGTTAGAAGCTCCTTGACTCAGAATAAAATATTTAAAAGTCTAGATTACTTAATCACACTAAAAACAATAGATTTTCCATGTACTTTGTCAGCAAGTGATTTTTGAGAAAAAAGTAAGTTCCTTTGTTACAAATTTCTTGATATCTACAAAGTATATTGTTGATTTTGATTGTGGAGGAATTTCCTGTTTCCACGTATAGTACGGGCCTTTTGTTATCAATTTGAGATGTTGGAAAAGTTTGGAGAAATATTGGCATTTAACCAATTCTGTGAGAGTGTTTTCTTTTTAAAATTTTTGGCATTGCAAGAGAAATGGTGAATAGATAGGGAGAACTTGACTTCATAAAAAGCAGAATGTGTAATTTAAGTTGTGTTATGAAGCAGAATATGAATTTTAACTTTCCCATAGAACTAATTACCAACAGTTTTTAGTCTTTATTGCCTTAAATTAAATAGTGCAAGTATTTACTTTACTTCTCTCTCCCATTCAGTAAACTGGCAGGATAATTTATTTTTTTTATTTTTATTTTTAGCATCTTGATAGTGGTATAAATGTTATACAATTAGAAACAGCTGCTGGAGCTGCCATGAAAGATTTTAGTCGAGCAACTGGTGAGTTTTAAAAATATGTTGTATAAAAAACAGAATGTTGTACATAGTAAATACATTAGAACTTTTAACCCTTTGCGGCATGGTGGGTCAATATATGTCCCACTTAATTAATATTTATTTTCTCAGTTAGCAGTTCCGCTAGATATTTTCTAATCTTTTAAAAATAATCTATTTTAGTTATTATTTTCCTCAGTAGATGTTACTACTATACCAGGGCTTAAGTTTATAAGCAAAAAAATTTTCAAAATAGGATCACAAGAGTGATATCCATGTATCTCGCATTTTTCAATATTTTAAAAATTTTGGTATACAATTTATGATATGTATGATTCTTTTTAATATTCAAAGGTATTTTATTTTCAAAAATCTTAATTGAATTCAATATTTTATAATATTAATTTTGCAGTTGAAATAAGTGGGTTAAAATTTGTCCCACCACACACTTGAATTTTCGCTCAATAGATGGCAGCACTCACGATTATTTTTTCTTTTCTTTTTTCCATCTACTTTTTTCGTGATTGCACGCGTTTTTACATCCGTTGTATGCTCTGATGTGCTAAAATGTCTAGAAAAAAATTAACAACTCAGGAAGCTTTGGATCTTTTTGCTGAACTGCAATCTGATTGCGACTCATATGCTTCAGATGTAAGTTCTGATTCAGATGAAATTGAAATCCAGAAGAGAATAACTGAGGTTGAATTTAATGCTGAAGAAGAAAGGGAATTTGTTTCGCTTTTTAAAGACACAGACCCATCTATGCATGTGGCTGCCATCTATGCATGTGGCACTGTAAATATGAATCAGAAGTATCTACCCAAAAATTTAAAAGACAAATGTATGTCAAGAGAATATATAGACTTTTTTCCCTGCTATGCACCAATGTGCTATAAGACATGTGCTAGTTGCATGGTGGGACAAACGGTATCCCACCTTCCCCCGTAAAAAATAAAAGCGCAGAATTTTTTTCAGTTAGCGATGATTCAATTTATTGCATAAAATGGAAGGATAAAAGATCCATTTCTATCCTGTCTTGCTTGGAAAAGGCAACTGAAATGAAAGAAATTAATAGAAAAGAACGAGATGGAAGACAAAAAAAGTACTTTGCCCAAACAGCATTATTTCATACAATAAGAATATGGGATATGTCGACTGATTGATCAACTGAAAGTACTATATGAAATAGACCGCAAAAGCAAGAAATGGTGGCATATGATTTTTTTTTTTTTTTAAACTTTTTAGATGCGAGTATAGTAAAGTTTGTTCGCGAACCCGATCATGATGTAAAAACAATGAAAGATTTTCTGCTCTTATTTATAGAAGGTCTAATTGCACTTGCAGGCAAGAAAGAGCTGAAAAGAAAATTGAAATCCCCAGTTCAAATAAAAACTAAAAACCCGTTCATACAACCAGAAAAGAGTCTAAAAAATGTAATTCACATGCCAAAGAGAACGAGCAGGAGAAGATGTGCATATTACAGCACATCGAAAGAAGAACGACGAACATTTTGGATGTGTGAAACATGTGAAGTGCCTCCACGCTTACAAAAGAATAAAACAACATGTTTTTCAAAGTTTCATGAAAAATGACTTTTTTTCAATTTTAATCATATATAAATGTTTTTGAATCAAGTGCCAATTTTAATATTTTATTTAGTATCATATGTACAAGTATCAAATTTTAATCTTAAAATAATATTCAAGAAAATATTTTCTTTTGTTCCTAAAATTTAAAAATATTAAATATATATATGCAAAATGTGCATGTGCAAAATTTTATAAGTCATGCATATATGCAATAAGTACAAAATGCATTTTAGTGTGTTTATTATGAATATTTTAGAATGCACGCTTTATTTTGTTTATTCATTCCACATATGATTTTTTTCCCTGCTATGCACCAATATGCTATAAGACATGTGCTAGTTGCATGGTGGGACAAACGGTATCCCACCTTCCCCCGTAAAAAATAAAAGCGCAGAATTTTTTTTCAAGCCTTAAAGGTACTTAAGTAAGTCCATTTGACTTATTCTAAGGCATTTTTTTAAAGATTAAAATATATTTTAAATATGTGTGTCGCAAAGGGTTAAAAGAGAAATGGGGATATTATATGTATGAAGAAAAGACTGGTTTAAATAAATTCGCTTTGCAAAATTGTGTCACATGTTTTGCTTATAGTGTGGTAACTGCTTATAATGTAGCAGTATATTGTAGTTTAAAAAAAATGAAATAAAGAAAGGTCTTTGTACAAATTTCCATTTAAAGATCTTTTGTTAATTCATTAAGCATGGCATATTATAAATTCCTGTAGAGTTTATTTGTAAATATAATGAGACACATTTAACCTTCAAATTTCAACACATTTTTAACCTTCAAAATGTGGCTTATGGTATAGTACAAATTCTGATAATCTACATGCCTTTGGTCCAAAGCTTGCACAGAGTAATGAATTTTGTAATTTATAGGTCATGTCTTTATGAACATTTATATCATAATTATTCAATAAAAATTCATTTAATATAGAAGTATATTTTTTAAATATTATGATATATAAAGAAAATGATGTTAGGCAATGGAATATGTTGTGAAAAGTTAAAATGGGGATATTTTTTACTAATTTTTTGAAAACACATCCAAACGTTTTGCATAAAAAATTGTATACCCAGCAAAGAAACTACCTTCAAAATAATTTTTGTGCCCTTAAACAAAACAAAAAATAAACAAAAACAGTTTGCAAAAAATCCCAACAATAAGATGTTCCGTGCATGCACTTGACATATTAGAATTGACATTTTGGGATTTATTAAAAAAGAAAATTTCTCTGTTCAACTCCTTTTTCTTTACCTTGTTTTTCATTTCTAATGCTAAAAAAGCTTTTACAAATGCTTTTTTTCAAGTATCTATCCCTATTCACTCACCATTTGAAATATATCTCCTCATTGCATAGAAATGAATCAACTACAAAATGCAAGTTTTAATGTTAAATCTGAAAAGTTGTAAGCAAATACATTCTTTATCTGTGTTACATAAGTTAAAATAAATTAACTACATAAATTCAAAATTAATGCTAAAAGACAACAAAATATGCACTGAAAAGTAGGGATTTGTCTTTTCTTTACTTTATAGTAGCCACTGCCAGCCTTTGGCACTTCTGCCATTCGGCGAGAAGCTTCCCAGTGTAGGCTGGACATGACTGTGGGCTGCAAGCTCAGTTTGTTGGCAAGTTCACTGCAGCAGTCTGAGGAGTCTTTGAAATGGGACTTTAGGAAAAAAAGCTCTCCCATTTCTTTCCTCGACAACCTATATTGTTATATTTCCATTCTACAGTGTGTTTTAGCCCACAGAATAACATTATCTACATAAAAAAAGTTTGTGACACTGAGGGTCTTCTCAGTCATTATCCTCATGTCATCTAGAATGATGCTGAAAAGGAGACAGCTAAGGACTCCTCCCTGGCCTTGTCTTAGATGCTTATATTGTGATGTTGCATTTACAAATTTTGTCAAAATAAGGCCTAAGAAATTTTTTATCCATTTTAACATGTTTCTTGTTCTCAGGTTACACAGGAGGAGATTTCTCCAGACTTTATCATAAGCCAATTCAAATCAATCAACCAGGACAGCCAAAGTGGAATGTTGCCAATGAAATCCATCCTTGACCGCCTATTGAACTTGATTGATGATTTGGTTGACTGATATGTTGGAGGGAACCCCTCTGCTTGTCATTTGTATTATGTCATTATTGCTCCTTTTGTATCTCAGAAGTTTCATAGCCTAATCTCAGCTATTTTGTTCTGATATTTTGGAGCATGTGTTGGTGAAAGATATGGGTGGCCTATAGCTACTGATTGAGATTATTTCCATTGGTATAGAATCCATTTCTGCCAGGTTAGGTTAATGAGTTTCAAAAAACTGTCCTTGGTTATATCTCCTAGGTTCTTGATAAATTCTGGGAATACTCTAACAGGACTGGCCGATTTTGTTCTTCATAGAGATGATGAGCATATCAAGTTTTTCCGTAATGAAAGGATCATCCATTGCCAACCATTCTTAAGTTGCTGGATGGCTTCTTATATTTCTGCTCAGGATTTCCCTTTGATCCTCCATGCTGACTTTCAGAGAGCTAACAGAGGCATAACATTTGCATGAAGACATGGTTACTTTGGCTGGGTTGATCAGAGTTTTGCTGTTAAAGACTTCCATTTGTGGCTTTTTCTGTCTTACAAAGCCCATGTCCACACACTTTTGGCTGGCTTTGATGATCCTTTTTATAAATTTTTCTGCCGACTGCTCTGGATTGTCACTCATTATGCTTGGTAGAAGATCTGCATTTAAGATTTGGTTGTATTTTGTCCAGTCCTTTTTCTTAAAGTTTCATCTTTGTAAGTGAGAGACAAGGGTGTTACCTTCTTTCAGACTGATTTCCAAAAAGAGAATGTGATGCCCACAACGTTTCACTGCATCTTCTAATTTGAGAATAGACCTCTGTGTAAGACTTACATGGACCAAAGCTAAATAAGATATGCTGTTGTGGCCAGTGAGAGTTAGGAAGGTGGGGTCAGATGCTATCTGATGTCCAAGTGTACATATGTGTGTGTCTTACATAACTAAAAAAAAGATTTGAAAAATGTAACGAACAAAAAATGTAAAATTCCTTACTCAGCATTTATTTTTGTAATTGTTGGTTGTAGATATGTGCTTCCAATAACAAAAGTGTTTTAAAAAGTATTCCTTTTTTGGAAATTTCAAGTTAAAAAAAATTTTGGACAAATAATGAAAACTAGATTTTAATGAAGTCTCCTGGCTCCTATACTTATATTTGGGAAAGTTTTATACTTGTTATGAATAAAAATACAAGAAGTTTGATTCCCATATGACCAAAATTGTTCAGAATATTTAATTTCAAAATTTGTAATTTTGGATGTCATTTTCAACTTGCCTTGAGGAATCAGTTAATTAAGTTAGAATAATATAAGGAAATAAGTTTAACTGAAGTGCAGCAAAAAAGTGTGTATAATTTAATAGGTCGTACAAGGAAGTCATGTGGTTTCCTCATCAGATTTTTTTAAAACTTTATTTTATTTTATTTTTAAAATAAACTACTCTTTTTAACATTGTTTTTATATACAGTTCTTTAAATCAAAACTCTGAATGCTTAATTTCCTCTGTTTCATTACTTTTTATTTGTATCATAATAGTAAAAAATCTCATAATTGAGCATATAAAATCATTTTGAAAGTAAAAATGTTTATTTATCATACTCTCAATAAATACTTTTTTAAAATATTTTTTTTTTGGTAGGCACTCAAATTCAAAATTAAAAGCTGCTACAGTAATTGGAAAATGGGGAGGTGGGTCAGTAGTTCAACAAAAGTTTAAATTACTTATACCTTAATTTTTGTATTTGATTTTCAATTTATCAATATTATGTATGCTTTTAAAGAAAAATCACTAAATAAGTATTTTAGACAAATTTTCAAAAAGTAACAAAATTTAGGTTTTTAAAGTAATTCAGCTATTTCTTTGATGCACAGTCACTGATGAAGAAAGGAATTTAGAATATAGCTTCAAAATTAATTAAAAATTTCATTGAGTGGAAAATTAATTGAATCTAGAACTTAATATAGAATGTCCTTTTTCCATATATTATTTAATTCGTTTTTTAGCATATGTTTATTTTTCTTAGGGATAACACTTCCCCCTGTGATTTAAAAAAAAGCCAGGTATAATTTGTCATATAATAAATTTGTCAATATTAAAAATATTCACAGTTTTGGATCACTGGGCTTTTTATAGGTGTACTTTAAAAGCTTTTTTCCCCCCACTTGTAAATGAAATTCATTCTTTTTTTTTTAAATTGCGAATTGAAATACTCCAGTCCATTGAAGAGCTCTTTCCAAAGCTTATAAAGGAGGATCTATTAAAACTTTCACCAAAGCTTCAGAACAGTGAAATTCTGCAACAATGTACACAATATGATGTGCTTAAGATTTTAATGATAATCCTTTTTAAAGCTGTATGGGCATTTTTTTAAAATTTACAGTTATCAAGACTTATCAAAAATAAGGACAAATGAAAGTAATGAATTTAACAAATACCAACAAGAATGAAGTAATGACAGGAGTAAAAGTAATTAAAAGTAATAAAAGCAGTTGAGAAGACATGTGCAACTGGGGCAAGACTGAGAAGAACACTTGAAATGGTAAATACTTTTTTCCTATAGCCAACATTTTTTAAAAACAATAAGATTTTCATTTGGTTCAACCCTATTTGAAAGTATAAGCCTTGTTACTAAAAGCCTCTGCATAGATATATCAATGAAAATAGTTCTGGACTGGTAGTATGCACAGAATACTGTGAATGTGATAGCAGATGCTATTACTGCATTTGACTTGAAATTGTCACTGTAGCAACTGGGAGTGGATTTACCAGGCTACTTTTGATTCCTTGGAAGAGCAAAACAGTTGTTTTGCCAAATGACTGGATGGTGCTTCACAATATTATTGATTTTAAAGAAAAAGAAACTGTCAAAAAACAAGAATACCAGATGTTTTAACATTTTAAATGCTAAACTTGTTTTATCTTCCTTTCCATTCAGCCTAAAATACCTGATCTGACTGATATGTTAGCAGCCAGAGATTTATGTAGAATTTGATATAAAAGTATTATTTTTAAAATTATTTATCATGTGTCAACAGTGGCAGATGGTCTGAATCAGTGACCTACTACTGATATGGTGCTTAATGTGTTAACTCAAGTTTGAACTAAGTAACATTGTTCGAATGCTTTTGTAAATATTCTTCTTTAATGCCATTTATAAATATAGTTTCTTCATTTCTGATCATATTGTTTTCTGTGTGTTCTTTTTGTTTATGATTTAATTTTCATTACCACACTAATTTATTCCTTATATTAAACTGCATGAAAATGCAGGTAAATAGTTAACAGTATTTTTCATTTAATTATAAAATTGTTTATTTTTTTTCCTTAACTGCATTTAACAATGATTTTAATTTAACCATGGATGCCATCTTTGGTATTTATTACCCCGGTAAACTATGTTGTCAAATGCCTCAATCTTATCAGAAGTTTTTGATAGCATCTCCTCGTCAGTCAATAAATTTCCATGTTTCCTGGTTTTTAATTTATCTGAATTTAAACCTTCTCTTTCAAGTACAGTATTGGATTATTGATTATTAAAGATCAAAAGAGAAAGAAAGGCTATGAAGAAAACATTGTTAACAAGTTCTTAAAAACGTTTCGGAAGTGACATTACCATTTCTTAGCAAAAATTAAATCTGCATTAAGTTTAATTTTTTCTGAATGATTTTCAGCTTCATTTTTCAAGTTAATTTTGTTCGAACTAATGTCTTTTTTCCATCATAGAGATCTGAAGAACATTTTGTTAATATTTAATAATAATTAATAGCTAAATTAAATGAATTTTTCTTTAAATCTTTAACTTGTGCACTGCTAAGTTTACATAGATTATTATGTGCACATTGATTAATAATTTTATTTTTATTATGTTTAAAAGCATTTTGAGAAATAAAAGCTTTTCTTTCCTACTTGGGTTATTATCAATAAAAAATTTAAGGAAAATTGCATAATCAAAGGAAATTAGCTTAAAGTAAAATGTAAAGAAAGATGTTACATGTTAAGTTAATAAATTTTATATGAGAATTATGTTTTAATTTAATAGTATAGTGGTATAAAGTCGCTTTAAGTCTATTTGTCAGTTTGGAGTTCTTTTGAAGTTATATCACAAAAATAAACCTCTCAGTTATTCACATTTTAAAGTTGGTGCTATGAAATCGGAAGTTGATACTTTTTAAAATTGAAACAGTTTTATTGCATCATTTGTGGAAGACATTCTTATTGTTCACTTTCAAAGAACTGAAACCTTCAGTCATAATGAATATTAAGAGTTAAAATCTTAATTGCTTGATGATTTTACAAAATTTGCCAGGTATAGCAAAGACTGTGTGACTGCATGTAGAAATATTTTAGTTATTTATAAATTCTTTATTAAATTTAAGTCTTAGTGAAAGAAATACCTTAATTATTTTCTTATGCATTGCGGTTGGAATGAAGCATAGTCAAAGTTTTTAAAGCACTTTATTGACCATTTTCGTAAATATAGAATATTTCAACACTTGAGCTATGGTCAGATTTGCTTTTCATTATCCTTTTGATTCTAGCAATTTAAAGGATTATGAAATTTTATTATTATTATTCAGTTCAGTTTTGTTACTTGAACTTACTTTCTAGTCCATTAGTAAAATGTAATGTATTATATAACTGCATTTTATGGTTCAGATATGACCATTTTCTCATAGAAAAGTATCATTTTTGTAGTTGTGTATTCTTTTTGGCTATATTATTAGATGTAGTTTGAAGTGTATTTATTTTACTTTCCTTTGAATAACAAAGAGTTTAAGTAAAATAAATAATAAAAAAAAATTCATTTTAGGTATAAATGTTCCACGTAGTCGTTTTCTACCTGTGAAAAAGACATCTGACCTTCTTCTGGTTAAAAGTAACTTGTATACTATGCAAAATGGATCATTAGTAATGAGTTCTTTGAGAGCATTTCCAACCGTTCCTCTAGTCAAACTAGGAGATAATCATTTTGCTAAAGTAAGTATATTCATTTTCTTAAAATAAGGTTATTTTCTCACATATATTTAATGAATAGCTACCATTCAATCTATTCATTAAATATACGTTCAGAGCTATACATGAACAGATAGATGATGTTTAAGAAAGGGAAAAGCAGCATTATAAAAAAATCACATAATGAGAGGTTAACAAATGCACATCTGAGTTCTTTTAAAGAGGATTCCAGAATTCATTTCACTGGTGGCATGAATTCACCATATGTAATGAAGAATGTTTTTCTATAAAGGAGTTACTTCAACAGCACATGAAATTTTGATGATTTGTGTCAGTTGATAACAAAGTAAGCCAATATTTGCATTACTTTTTGTATGGCCCTTACATATGTTCAACCAATTAAAATGATAATTAATTACATTCTTTGATAATAAAGTATTAACATAAGTAATTTTCTCTTTAACTAGCACAAAAAACTGTATTTAAAACATTAACATGAAACATATTTGTAACACAAATTAAATCCTTAAATTAAGTGTCAAATATTATTTCAAAACTGTTATATTAAAGGCTGTTAAACAAAATACAGTCAAAAGTCGTTAATTCGGACACCCATAATCCGAAATGATCTATAATCCGGACCTCAAAGCTAAAAACTTTCTGCGCATGTGCCGCGTCGACACATGCGCATAGGCATTTACGCTTGCACGCAAGACCTTTTACGACTGCGCATATGCGTGTGCGCAAGTGCAGAATACGTTTTCGCGTGCGCGTTTTATGTATAACGGCTGGTATAAGCTAAAATTATCTAATTATCTATTTCAGTTAATGTTTATGATTGCGTTGTTCCTTAATCTTTGAATTGGATCCGGCTTATTATTTTTTGCAGATTGTAAGAGCAATACTATAAAAGTAAACTTGAACTTTCGATTATGTCGAATAGAATTTCCGATTCTGGAGCTCCCAAAGGATCGTACAAAACGAAAGTATGTTTCGATGTCCATCAAACAAAAAGTGGAATTGCTGCAAAAAATGGATAAAGACATGAAGAATGTGACAGAGAGGTTAGTGAAAACGAAAAAATTTCGATTGACAAGTTAGTCGATATTCTCGGCACAGCAATTAACGGAACTTGAACAGCGGAATTTTGTAACTGAACAAGAAATTATGTCTGCTTATAGAATTAAAGAGAAAGTATAATCACATAAAACGAAGCAACTTTAAACAACTTACACTGAAAGAAATGTTTAATAAAGTAAACAAATAAATATTAAGCTTTTTTTTTTTTTTTTTTGTAAATTTTGATACCTTTATATCATAATTGTTCTTTATTTCATAAATTACAGTTTCATATTTTTAATTTTAGAATTTCTGCATGCTATCTTACGAGATTTAAACTGATGATCTATAATCCGGAAAAATCGATAATCCGGAATCGCCGAAGTCCCGACGAGTCCGGATTAACGACTTTTTACTGTATATGTAAGTCTTTAATAATCAGACTGGATCGAATGTAAAATAATAAACAGAGAGTGTTATTCCACACAACGTTTATTGACAAACACCAAAGACGAACTGATACATAATTATGACATCACAGTTTCTTTTTACAAACACTACTGCCATCTATTGGCAACCTAAGGATACATAGTCATAAACTTAACAGCTGTAGATCAGGGGTGGGCAAAAGTTAGCCCATGGTCAAGTGCGGCCCTTTAATTGCTTAATCTGGCCGATTATGAAATCTTGTGAATTTGGCCCATTCTGAAATCTTTTCATCACTTTCCAACCCGATTTTGTATGTAAACTGCTGAAATCAGCAGCATAAGTGTGCATCTACTGTTACAGTCTATTTTCGCATATGTATATGTGACATACTAGTGATCAGCCTAATTTGAGAATCTTAGAAATGCTAGAAAACATTCAGCAAGGAATATTATTCTATCATTGCTTGCAGCATTAATTTAGAAATTGAACAGTGACATATGAATATTTAGATAAAAGACGACTGATTAGAAAAGGAGCTTAGGGAAAGAACGTTTTTCCACTGAATTTTTATTTGAAAATGAAGCAATAAACATGCCAGTTATTTGATGACTCATAGGAACAGATCCTGTGTTTTGTGTATTTGTAATTGTTTTAACTGTAATTGTATTCTTCTAAAATTTCTACTGGGGAGAGGCTTTCCCGTACCATGTTTTGCAAACAATAAACTTACTGAATCCTGCCTCCCCCTTACCATATCCTGCAAACAGCAGCAGACATCACAAAAGATCCTTACAGCTCTTCCGGCATGATGCACTGAAAAAGGTTTTTTGAGCTACTGTTAATAGTATCTGCCTATCCCTGGTCTAGATTAAGTATTTTATGTGTAACCATCTTATATTTGGAAATGCTGTTATGCATATTAGAGTACTGAATAGGCAAGAAAGTAAAAATAATTTAATGTGAAAAATATCGACATTAAATGCTATATTTTGCTTTTCTTTATAACATTTTTCAGTGAACAAATTATAGTTTAATTTTTTTTAAATAAGCTTTTATTTTATTTTTAAAAATCAAACTGTGACTCTTATCTGGGATTTAATTAATCTCAGTTAGTTCAAGTTAAATTAGGTATTACATAGATTCTGTGGATGAGTTATTACCACTAGAATAACTAAAACCTTAAAGAAAACAAGCACAGATGTAGTTTAAATTTATTCTATTTCGCCACTTGTGAGGGTTGACTAAAATTAATACAACATAATGTACCAGTCAGCTGGAACTGGCTGAGAACACAAGCTTTCTTTAATACTGTTCTAATTAGTATTATATCTAATTCTAAACAGAGGCTACAGAATTCACCTTAAGAACTTTACAGTGGCTCAAAATTCTATCTATTTTGCAACATTCAGTCTAACGTGAGACAGCAGTTATATGTCAAAATAGAAATTTCACAGCAAACAGTGTTAGCCTGAATACTCTCATTACCACTTATACACTATTCTTCTAGTTTTACAATAGAACTGCTTGCCATTTAAATCTACATAAATTCTGGAATAAGTGAACCTCATGACAAAATAAATAAAAACTTTGTAGTGAAACTCAAATATAATGCCACAAAACTTCTGATAATTCAGACTTTAATTGGAGGAAAATGTTGCAGTTCCAAATGGGTCCTAGTTAACCTGAACTGAGTACATTATAGAAATATGGCTAAGTATTAAATTGAAAGAAGAGCTGATGAATAGAATAGAAAGAAGAGCAGAATGATGTCCTAAATTGATGCCAGTCAACAGGGTATCAACTTAGGACAAACTAGCAAACTAGTGTTGTTACACTGAAGCCATTCCAATTGAACATGTTAAGTGATTATATATAAATATTATAAAAATATAAATATATATTTAAAAATTTTACTTTTTTTTTGGCAAAAATTAATTGATCTTGGAGTCTGATTTTATAATTACAGGTTAAATTTTTGTAACATGTCTTCTAAATACGCTTCACTGTCTTTAATTCCTTGAAAATTTCATTCATATATGATTCAATTAACTGTTATTGGTAATGCTTTTATTCATAGATAAAGTATAGAGTATTTCAGTAAATGATCTGGAAATTATTCTTTAAGTTATTAAATAAAAAAAAATAATAATTTTTTAGATTAATTTATTAATATTTTTAGATTAAATCATATCAAAAGAGTAGCTCAAAAGAATTGAAAGGTTCTCCTTCCCATAGAATAGCAAAGCAAAAATTTAATGACAGAAATTGGTTTGATACAATTATCATAAGTCTTGTTACTGAATGAGTAAATCTAGATGAGTTTTCTTCATTTTAACTTTTAAAATTATATAGTTATGTTATGCTGAATGATGATCTGTTATTTTAAAGATATACCTTTTTGTGTTTAAAGAATTTTCAAAGTTTACATTTATTTAAATTTATAAAACAGCATGTAAAATAATGTTTTATAATATATAAAGTTTTCAGTGCTTATGGTGTTAACAGCAAAAAAGCCAAAATTTACCAAGAAAAGAAGACATAGTTGCAACTTTGGCAGCATAACACAAAATAATTGCAACTCTATGATGTTGCCAATAAGCCCCTGTTTTAGATTTTTTTTTGGAGTTTATTGTTCAATCATGGGTCTGTGGGATCTGCCAAACAATTAAGTTGATGCAGTTTCAACAAAAATGTAATATATTGTTAAATAACCATCGCTGTTCCAATTTGCATGAAATGAAGTTTTGTATGATACAGTTGAAGAGTGTATGATGTTTCACAACAGCAAGGCACCACCTGTATTTGTATTTAGCAAAGTTCATGTGGTGGCAGAAAGTTATAGTTCAGGGTTTAAAAAAAAAAAAAAAAAAATTAAAACTATTTTAGAAGTAATTATTAAATATTTTCCACCTGAAATAAAGAAATGCTATCAAATTATTGCCAAAGTTAACCAGTTCATCTCCATTAACACATACCTATTTTTATGTACCTATATTTTTATTCATTTATTTCTCATGTCATTATTTTTATTCATTTATTTCTCATGTCATTATTTTTCTCTAGGTTCGAGAATTTTTAAGGAGGTTTGCTAGCATTCCAGATATGCTAGAATTGGATCATTTAACTGTTTCAGGAGATGTTACATTTGGGAAAGATGTATCCTTGAAGGTACTGTAAGAATTTTCTTATAGTATTTCATAAAAAACATATGTATATATAACTTTTCTTTCAGTTATGGTTTCTGATATCAAAATATTTGAAGAATTAGTATATAAATAGTGAAAAATGTTAAAATTTTATTAATGCTATTAATTAAAGAATTAAATCAAAACATAAAAATATGTAAGTAAATAAGAATATTAATATGGTATATCAAGGATGGCCGAACTGCACTATGATAGAAGATGCATGGTAGATTTAAAGAATGTTCGAGAGACACAGCTGGATTTTCCAAGAGCTGCAAATCCATTTTTATTTAAAAAAAATAATGAATGTATGAAGTAAATTAATTAGAATTTTGCATTTTTATGTAATTAATGTGTTTTTAGACTTTCCCAAATATGAGATGATTTTTTAGCTTCAGAAGTATTCTTTAAATTAAAAATCAGAATCACTTTATAATTAATGCTCTGTTTGATTCATTTCAAATTCAAGCACCTTCTTATTTTAATAGTGAAATCCATTAAATATTACTGCTGATTTACATGTACACAAGTTTCTGTGAATATTTTTGAAAGGAAGTAAAAAAAGGTGTTTCTTTTTAAAATATTATTTAAAACTCGTAATTGAGTTATTATAAAATGTAAGGAAATAATTCTTTTAATACTTTTCAATTTTTTTAACCTTTAATTTCAACAATACATATTGTAAAAATTCTTTTTTTACTACTTAAATATGCTCTCATTGCTTTACAACACCTTTTAACAGATTAATTAAACAGTTTTATAACCACATTTGTTAACAGAATTTTAATTTAAGTTCACAGTTAAATGTTAAGGTAAGAAGTGTTAAATGCAGTTAAATGTTAAGGTAAGATAATATTTACAATCATCATAAATTTAGATGTATTTAATAACTAGATTTCTTCACAGTAACATACACTGGAGTTCACGAATGAATAAATCCTTCATTTCCAAATACATTTATAAGTAATTTAATAAATATTTACATATTTTGCTAAAGGCAAATACATGGTTTTTTCAAGGATATGTATAAATATCCATATATTTTTAATATTTTTCATTTTAGGCAGGGGCAAATCTTTAATTTCTGTGCACTCACTATTTTTCGAGTAAAGTAATTTACAATACATTTAAAAGTCTTTAATCTAGACTTCCATAATCCGGACCTCAAAGCTACAAACTTTCTGCGCATGCATAAACGTATATACCTTTACGCAACATAATAAGTTTACGCATGCACGTTTAATATATAACAGACAATATAAGCTAAGCTAAAATTATCTAATTATCTATTTCAGTTAATGTTGCAGATTGCGTTGTTCCTTAATCTTCTAATTGGATCCGGCTTATTATTTTTTGCAGACTGTTAGAGCAATTTTATAAAAAGTAAGCTTGAACTTTCGATTATGTCAAAAAGAATTTTTGATTCTGGAACTGCCAAAGGATCTACAAAGCAAAAGCATGTTTTGATGTTCATCAAACAAAAAGTGGAATTACTGCAAAAAATGGATAAAAGCATATCCTTTGTTTCTCTAACCATTCCGAACGTCGCGGCGCGCAATGAACTGGAAATTGATCTGTCAGCACTATCCTTTTCTTCAGGGCAGATGTTTTATTTTATTCGGCTTATAATTCCTTACTAAATGTAGTATTTCATCTCATTGTACTTCGTCTTTGATATGATTTAAATCAAATTCCTCGTCATTATAAATATCACGAATACACATCAAATAGTTTTCTGGTTGCAATTTTCTAATTTCGACTATGCGTAATGTATGCTTTACGCATGCGTGCGTTGAAAAAAATTTTTAATAAAGTAAAAAAATAAATATTAATTTTTTTTGTAAATTTTGATACCTTTTAGATCAAAATTGCTCTTTTTTTCATAAATTATGGTTTCATATTTTTAATTTTTGTAATTTCTGCATGCCATCTTAATTTAAACAGATTTAAACTGATCATCTATAATCCGGAAAAACTGATAAACCGGAATCGTCGAAGTCCCGACAAGTCCGGATTAAAGACTTTTGACTATATCATATATCAGAATTTTTTACATAAGAAATATGTATAAATGTAAATTGAATAAAATTTGCATGCATTCATGCTTTCTTGATGTGACACGTTCACCTGGTCACATCATTTTGACCGCACATGGTACTTCCTCTGAATTACAGGATTTCATGGAAATTTCAGTTTTAAGACAAGTAAACCCAAAGTGATTTTTTTTTCTTTTATATAAAAGTGTTTAAAAGGAGCAACTATTAAGCATCTCCCCAAAAATTTTTAAAAAAGTACATGTTACAATATTATATGGATGAAAAATTTTGATATTTGGAACAGAAAGTAAAAGTAGTGAATACTCTGTCAAGGGAAAGAATTATACAAATTTTCATGCTTATACCACATAATTATAAGGAAGTTGAAGTTTAAAGTGTGTTATATTTTTGCAATATTTTGATATTTTAAAGGTACCTTAAGGTATTTTTCATTCTTTATGCATACCGTTTTTGCTAAAGTCTATATTATTGTAGTCTAATAGCTTAGAATTTTATAAAACAAACTCATAATCAAAATTGCAGTAGCAAATTATCGAAAAATAACCAAGGATGTGATTTTTGCATAAATGCCACTAAAAAATGCAGATTGCATTATCTGACAATGAATGTTTCTTTTATGTGGAAGACATTAATTCGATTTCGATTTGTGTGGAAATACGATCAAAGCGCTGTCAAGGATGCTCTGGTTGTGAGCAATAAACACCCTATCTGGAGACCAAAGCTTAGAAGCACTGCTTCAGTCATAGTGCAGAATTGGCCCCTCCTTTTATTCTTATCTCTGTGTCCTGGATAGAAAAATGCTACCTCCCACAACCATTTAAGAGGGAAAAGTGTGGTCACGACTAATGCCAATACAACATTATTGTCACTGGTCATTGGATATTGTCATTGGTCATGGAGGGATTTCCTAGCTAGTAGCCAAAAAAATGTTAAAGTTTGACAGTGAAATACAAGAACCTCAATTAGGAGTAAAATTGCTTTTACACCAGATCTGTCTTTTCTTAAGTATTACATTTTCCATTCTTTATATAACTTTATAAGGATCCACATATTACACTTGAAGAAATCAGAGTTGAGCATCAAAAGAAATTATTACAACTAAATATTCACCTCAAAAGGAATTTTGTCCCAAAATTGTAACAAAATGTAGCTTTGCATTCAAGATGGGACATAACTTCTATTTTAAACCCAGAACTCCCACAGCAGGTAAATGCACAGTCATGCCTTGTTCTATCTCCATGTTTGTATTCTTACTGAATAGAGCTTTTCTAATTGATGGCACACAAAGATTGAATACACAAGAAAGCTCATAATCAGACACTCAATAATTGAAACACTCATAACAAATTTCAAAGTACACATTTTCCTCTTGGAGGTAACAAGGATTATTCATAATCTTCTAGGAAGTAAAGCTCCTTGTTTCAGTAGAATCAGTAACATAATAATAGAAGAAATTTGTCGTTGTTACTCCCAGTTTCATACAGTAATTTCTGAGAAAATACTCAGCTTTCCGAATAGTTTGTAACATATCTTATGTTAGCTAACCAGTTATTAGGATTTTGAACTTTACTATAGTTTCTTTCCATAGTCTTCACCAGAATGCAAATTTGCTTTGTCTGTATTTAAGTTGAGGGTTTTGAATCTTAAAAGGAAAGAGTTTCTGGCACTCATGCTTGCTGTTAGTTTTTCGCTAGCTCTGTTTAAAAGTAATATTTCAGCTTTGGCATTCTCACTATCTGATGCTTTAAACTTATGCACCAATAAATTAACTGAGCAGCTTATTTCATATTCTACTAAATATGTTATCTTAGACTATGTCACCCTTGTCTGAATTTATCTGTTATTGATTAATTTAATCTAGCAATAGTGATGGTTCATCTGTAACACAGATTGTCCCTTTTGTGTTCTATTTCTGACTAAAATAAAAAAGTTACGAGGAGTATTCAGAAAGTAAGGAATGTTTTAGAGTTAAAAAGAAACAAAGTACAAGAAAAAAAATTATATTCATCAGAAAGAGCGACTAAAATTCTACTTTTCTACATAGTCACCAAACTAATTGAGGCACTTATCATAGCGGTGGACAAGCTTTGAAATTCCTTCGTCATAGAATTCTGCCACTTACAATCTCAGCCACTCAGTGACGCGCACCCGCAGCTCCTTGTCGTTGTCAAAGCGCTGCGTTGCTAGCCAGTTTTTCATTCTTGGAAATAAGTGAAAATTACTAGGTTCAAGATCGGGACTATAGGGCGGATGAGGAAAAACCTCCCATTTGAATGAATTAAGGAGTTCATGAGTGCGGTTTGTCGTGCAAAAACAAAATTTTGGACGTCAACTTTCCTCGGTGCTTGTTCTGAACTGCTCTAAGGTTGCGCATAGTTTGACAGTACTGCTCAGAGTTTATTGTGGCACCACGTTCGAGAAAATCAATCGGAAGCACACCTTGCCTATCCCAAAACACAGTCACCATAATCTTCTTTGATGACAAGGTTTGCAAACATTTTCTTGGTCTTTTGGGGGAACATGTGTGCCCCCACTGCATGGGCTGTAATTTTGTCTCGCAATTCACGTGTCTTACCCACGTCTCGTCACCAGTTACAATTCGATCCAGTAATGAATAACTATGTCTGTCATAGGCCTCCAGAAATGTCAAAGCTGTCCCATTCGCTGACCTTTATGGTGGTCTGTAAGCAATTTCGTCACCCATCTTCTACAAAATTTGCGGCGGCCTTGCTTTTGTGTGACAATTTCAAACAACAAAGTCCATGGAACTTGTGGAAAACTAGGTGAAAGCTCCGTTATTGTGAAATGGCGGTTTTAACGAATCTTTTCATAAACTTTAGCAAACAGTTCGTCAGTCACATTGCTAGGGCGTCCACTCTTCTCTTCATCATGAACGTTAGTTCGGCCATTTTTAAACTGAATGCACTATTTCCAAATTGAACTTTCATTCATTACGTTGTTTCCGTACACTTCACTCAGTTGCCAATAAATTTCCATAGGTTTTAGGTTTTTTGCCAACAAAAACCGTACCACAGACCGCACCTCACAACTGGCGGGATTTTCAATTGCAGCGCACATTTTAAATTTGAATATCAATAAAACAGGCAGCATGGAAATGTTCCCGTTGTGATGGCTGGACACCGACTGAGATGCAGAGCATGTAGACTCCTAAATATATGTGATCGCCGCGCACCTAGCGACGTCAGACAGAAATGTTCCTTACTTTCTGAATAGCCTACGTATTTTAAGTTATTGTTATCTTCTCCTGATAATAAGGGTATTAATGATCTTACCTCCTTCTACCCAGTTTGTTTGATGCTTTGTTTAACTTCTCAAAGATTAATTTGTGGAAGAGTAATATGTAATCTGACAAAAGCAATTGTTACACAGAATCCCATGTAACTTCCAGATGAGCAAATCAGTAGACCATGCAATTGAAAATGCTGTGTATAATACTACCTCTGGTCAGAACTTAGGGAGATGAGAGAAATCATTTTGCTTCACATTTAGTAAGACATTTGCAACATATGATGGCAGATATTATAAGTACTTTTATAAACCTGGGAGTGGACATGAGTATCTTTAAAATTATTTCCCTTACCTCACCAATAGAACTTTATAGCTGATAACTGACTCCAAAATGAGTATAAAAGTCTCAGAGACTGCCTGTAGTGTTTCTGCATAGATCTAACCTTATAGAATATTGTTACAAATATATTGGGTTGTCAACTAAGTAATTGCGGATTTCACTCATAGATGGCTTCAGTTGAATTCTTAGGGTTGCAGACGTAGTACAAATGTAAAACACATTTTGTTATTTGATAGTTGGCAATTCAGCTGTCAATCAGTAAAAAACGTTTTTTGATCGGTTGCGTAGTTTTTGTTTGGCGTTCGTTGAAAAATGGAAAATCAAAGGAACATTTTCATCATATTTTGCTTTTTTATTTCTGCAAAGGGGAAAACGCATCGCAAGCTCATAAAAAGTTATGTGGCCTTAAAAGAACGGCAGTGTCAAAATTGTTTTGCCAAATTTTGTTCTGGTGATTTTTCACTCAAAGATGAAAAACGCTCTGGTCATCCATTTGAAGTTGATGACAACCTAATCAAAGCAATAATCAATTCGGATCGTCACAGTACAACACGTGAGATTGCAGAGAAGCTTCACATACATGCATTGAAAATCGCTTAAAACAACTTGGCTATGTTCAAAAACTCGATACATGGGTTCCTCATGAACTGAAAGAAACGCATTTAACGCAACGCATTAACAGCTGCCATTTGCGTAATGAAAATGATCCCTAAAGAAAGAACTAAAGAAATGTAATGAAAATGATCCATTTTTAAAACAACTGATAACTCGCGATGAAAAATGGGTTGTTTACAACAATATCAAGCGGAAAAGATCGTGGTGCAGGCCAGGTGAACCAACTCAAACAACATCAAAAGCTGATATTCATCAAAGGAAGGTTTTGTTACCAGTTTGGTGGAATTACAAAGGAATTGTCTACTTTGAACTCTTACCACCCAACCGAAAGATCAATTCTGATGTCTACATTGAACAACTAACAAAATTAAACAATGCAGTTGAAGAAAAGCGGCCCGAATTGACAAATCGAAAAGGTGTTGTATTCCATCATGACAATGCAAAACCACACACATCTTTGGTCACTCGGAAAAAAATTATCGGAGCTTGGTTGGGATATTTTGCCACATCCACCATATAATCCTGATCTTGCACCATCTGATTAATTTTTGTTTCGATCTTTACAAAACTCCTTGAATGGTAAAAATTTCAATAATGATGATGTCAAATCGTAGATTCAGTTTTTTGCTAATAAAAACCTCAAGTTTTATGAATGTGGGATTATGATGCTGCCTGAAAGATGGCAAAAGGTCATTGATCAAAATGGGCTATACATTACAGAATAAAGTTATTTAGTTCCATGAAAAAATTGTCTTTGATTTTCTAAAAAAAATCTGCAATTACTTAGTTGCCAACCCTATAGTTGTAATAAAATTTCATACTTCAGCAGCAGTATAGATGTACAAGTTTATACTGATTATATATTGCTCATAATTGAAGGAAAAGTAAGAATTAAAACAAACTAAACACGTTTTTTTTTCTGTTGTAAACGTGGTGCAAAGAAGAAATCTACCTGCAACATGAAAAAATTGTGTCAGTAATAATAGGCAAACTAAAAATACTGAAACTACAATTCTTTAATCCAGTTCTGATTCATGACTACCATATTAATACAAATAGGGCAGTTAAATATTTAGGAGTATTTCTGAGCAACAAAATCAGATGTTTTTCACCTTTGTAAACCCCGATAAAATAGTAACATTTATGAATAATAAATTCTTTGATCTGATGCCAGAATCCTGGAATCTCTTCTCTATTTTGAAGGAAGGGTGCCATGATGTGATAGTGTCCACAGTCTGTCATACAACTTCTGACTGGGCATTGAACATTATCAGATGAATAATTTAAAAACTCTTTATATCTATATCTTTAAGCAAAGTCTACTCAAATGAACTGTAAGGGCTCAAACAAATCTAATATTTAAAGTGAAATTCAGTTGCCATAAATTCTGTCTGGTCATTTGAAAAGGTTTTTGCATTGATCACATTACTGGAAGAAGCTCTTATGATTACTTTCTATTAGTATCTCGTGAACTCAGGTTCACATCTTCCCTAGTTATACAGCGTTTTACTCAGAATACCCTGACTCCTTATGTACTTTTACGGATTTAGAGAAGTAATACTGGTAATTATAGATAGGCTGGCCAGAAGACCTGTTACTTCTTCTAAAGTGAGTTTTCTTTCATAATCCATGGGCAGAATTTTTCAGCCTGGAAAAGAAGACCTGCTAGTAAAAAAATACATCTTTTGAGAGGACTTTAAAAGTTGTTATCTGTATAAATGAACTTTCAAACAAATTAGGGATATTTAAAAATTTATGATGTTTAGATTTCTCATCTAAACCTAAGTTAAGGTTGGATTGACAAATAGGGATATATTTTACACTTTGGTTGAATTTTTACCTTTGTTGTTCAGAGGGCAATAAGCTTCTTCTGTAGGAGTTCTTTTGCCTCTCCAATGGTGCAGCAACTATAAGACCAAAAAACAGTTTTTTTTTTTTTTTTAAATTTTTTTTTTTTTTTTTTTTAAATTTGGAAATTTGGAATTTTTTTTTTTTTTTTTTTTTTTTTTTTGTGTGTGTGTGTGTGTGTGTGTGTAGTGAAAATTGCATTTAAAGAAAATCATAGTTTGTGTAAACAGGAAATGTTGTCAGCCTGCATGTTATAATAACAATAAGCTATAATATCTCTTTTAGCTTACTGATTATCAACTAGTAAGTAACAGTTGCCAAAACACATAATGTAACATCTATGGATAATAAATGTACTATAATTTTCAATTTCAGTTCCCCATTTCCCTACTTTGTACATCATATATATGTTGCAAGGAAATATTTCTTTCTTTTTTAAAAGGAGAGAGAGAGAGAATTTTCAAATTTTCAATTGTGCATTTCATGCTGCTAAGATAGAGGTGTTAAGATGGAATCTGAAAAGTTATATTACAGTTACCTTTGTTATTAAAATATAATTATACCCTATTTCTTGCATAAAATAGGCATTTTCTCATCTTAAAAACTTTATAAGACATATCTGAAAACATTTATTCCCTTTTTCCAATAAGAATTATTATTTTTTCTGTTGTTGCAGGGAACTGTAATTATCATAGCAAATCATGGAGACAGAATTGATATTCCACCTGGTTCTATACTAGAAAATAAGATAGTCTCTGGAAATTTGAGAATCCTGGATCATTAATTAGTGCCACGGCAATTAGAAATGTTTCAGTGCAAAAAGAAATCAAAAGTATTTTATGTAGTTTGTGTGCCAATCAATTTTATTATTTATTTTACATAGTTAAGTTAATCAATTTTAAAATGTAGTAAATGATGGCTTGTCTTTCCATTGTACTTATTTTTTTACACAAATTCAGTCATTGTCACTACATGATTCTTGATACATCTGTAATTGCATGTCTTCCTGTTGTTTGATTTCCAGTTGATTTTACAAACAAAAATGAAATATTAATAATCAAGTAATTATGCATTTATTGCTATATCTGAATATTCTGAATACTGAGTGTTTTCTAAATGAATTATTCTTGTATGAAACTAATTGTAAGTATTTATGAATGGGGATATGTTATTGTAGATATATCACACAGTAAAATTCATCATACATGAAATTTTGAGAAAGAATATTTGATCTTATTACAAATAACAAACCGTCATAGAAACCCTTTTTTTAGGATTTAGGTCAAACATTTACTAGGATATAAATTATCACATGTGAACATACATTGAGAATTAGTCTGAGAAATTGAAAAGATGGAAGATGGAAAGTGGAAACATTATTTCTTTGAAATGGTACAACACATTTACGTAACATAGCTAAGAATATTTGTATAATATATACAAATGAATTTTACACCAGTTACTCTATTTATAGTTATTAACATATTGCACTTTTAGGATATTATGTAGTTTTATAGCAAGAAATATTTATTTTTTCTACTCTTTCTATTTGAAGGTATTGATTAAAAATATTCTGTAACTAATGATTAACTATACGGCCATCCATTTTCCAGTTGATCAGAAAGTGGGAAATAATTTGTCAAAGCATTCTTTTATAATAATATGAAATTATGCATTAAGAGTCAATACTTTTTTCTATTAGTTGAAAAATTAAACTTTTAAAAGGTATTATCAAGAAAGATTCTAGTCTTGTATCTTTAAAATTAAAAATTAGGTTAAAAAGCATAATCACTGCATACATATGAATTCATCTGTTTGGTAGAAAGAAGGTTCCATCAACATTTATTATTAATTATTCAGCAGAATTTATCATTACGCATTTCATAGTCATACATTTTAGTGCTGTAGTTCTTGGCCTATGATACATATACTATTTAGAGGTATGCTATAAAAACTGAAGCATGCTATAAGAGTCACTATGGTTCAATAACTTTGAAAATAATCTCATGACCACCTGAATTTCTTAAGAATGAATTATTCTACATGAATTGCATGCATATGAACTTCTGAATGAATTAATCTGCATAGGAGAACTGTGAATTAAAATTTAAATTCAGTATTGCCAGTTCTGAAAATAAAAACAATCTACATGAGCAGTAACTGTATGTAATTTGTTAAGAATGAATTTCTATGAAATGAGCTACCATTAGCTGATACTTGCTAAAGGTGTTAAATTATATTGCTAAAAGTATTATTAATTGAATTCTTCATTAGAAGGCCGTCTGCATAAGTTATATCCAAAGTTATTAGACAATAGATATATTCTTAAATTCACTAAGTGTCAGAATTGTTATAAATGTTTAGATGGTGAATTTTTTGATGAAATTTCTCGTCTCTTCTTTATCTCAGAACTTAACCCTTCTGTATCGTAGACTCTAGTAAAATGATATGATTTTATAAGATTTATTAAATTCTTTGTATCATTTATTTATTGATATGTATAATTTATGAACACAAAATTTAATGTATTTGTGTTTTTCTTTCATTTCAGAAGTTACATGATTCTGTATATATTTAAAAATGTAAACACAAGTGACACGATAAACACTGATACAATTTTTCCAATAAAACTTAAGCAATAATTACTTTAAAATGTTTAACCCCTTCGAGCCGGGTAGCGAAAACACATGCTTATCGCGGAGGCCGGCAGTGTCTTCCGCGAGCGTCTCTCCAGGGCTGGGGGCTTTTTTGCTACTAAGCCTAAATCTATGAAATTTCCGAAGTATCAACGCATTGTTTAATAATGCTCTATAGAGTATTTAAACGGCTTATGCTTTATAGATATTTTTAATATATATATACTTTAATTACCTTATTTCTTGTTTAAATGCATATTTTACACATTTTATTTTAATTACTCACCATTTTATGACTTTTAACATTATACATCTGAAAACTAAATATATTACTTAAAATTCTCTTTTCATATGAAAAATTTTAAAACAGGGATCTACGCACAGTCCTACGTTACATTCCTTGAACTCGTAATAACTCATGTGCCGTTTTGGAGGATTTTTCCGGGAGTGTGAACAAACGAAGCATTGTCGTCTCATTTTCTTATCAGTCTCTTCTGAACAAAGTTTTGGAAAATGTCTTTCAGTTAATCTTTCAGAATCAATATCAGAATTTTAGAATCAATATCTGAAATATTTTGCGTCATTTCTGCTATTTCATGCTCTGTTAAACATTTTCGACGCTTCGGCATTGAAACGGTAAAAACAAAGAATTCACGTCTAACAAGATCTAATTATTTTCTAAAAACTGAACTGTAAACTGAAATACTCAACGCTTTAGCGCATATAAAACTTCTACTTACAATAAACAACTACCACGTGCGAATAAAGTGCGATTTAAAGAGACGTCATAAATCACGCCATTCGGAAACATTTAGTTCCCCGTTTGTTTATATAATCAAAAACGCGTGTATGTGAGTCATGCTTCTCTCATTTCGAGTAGAAGGTCTAATGTACATGTATCTGAAACCATATGGACATACAGTGCCATCTTGTGGCAGAAATAATAGTTTGAAAAACGTTCCAAGGTACTGGCACAAATACGTGACAGTCGGTAGTAAACGCAACAATGCTCTGGCACGCCTGCGCGTCGGCCGGTAGATAAGTGTGTTCGTTGCTGGCACGTATACGTGACAGTTGGCGTGAAGGGGTTAATATTGATAAAAACTGCTGTGACTGAACAGATAACTAATCTTTATAGTTGAAGAATTGAAACTGTTGGCTGGGATATAGAATGCGTTAAATAATTGATATACATTTAAATAGAAATAACATAATCGTTTTAAATCTATACTCTTATATTCAAGAGAAAAATGTTTAAGAATACATTATGACAGCTCTAAAATCATTTTACCAGTAATACCCCCTGAATGATAGTTATGAAATGTTTGTTTAAAGACAATAAATTTTATTACCATGTTTAACTATGCTGTTTTTATCTGCTAGGTGTTCATATAGCAGATAAAAACAGCATAGTTAAACGTGGTAGTAAAATTTACTGTTGTTTCCAGAATAAGAATTGTGAAAAATAATGTGATATGGTTTATAACATGCTTTCCAAAAAGTAATCCTTAAAAAATTTTAATGTTAATATTGTCAGACTAACTAACTAATATTTCATTCTCAAAGTGTGTTAGTTATTAGCATGCCTTGCTAACTGATAAAAATTTGATATCCAGAGGTAATAATCAATAATTTTTAATTGAGAGAATTACACTAAAAAGGCTACATTTGATTCTCTGAGTGCAGTTTTAATAAAAGGAATCAATCTTTCATGTGTATAATCTAAAGAAGTATATTAAGATTAATACATGTACGGCATACTGATTCAAAAGCAGTTTTTATAGAAGCTATGTATTAAAGGTATTTATTTATGATTTTGTAGTATCACTTTTCTCTTAAAATTTCAAATAAGGCTGTAGGAACCACTTGCTTATCCTCTAAGTGACAACTGTACATGTAGTAAGTTCTTGTAGGAACCACACAAGAAAAGGTTTAAAAGTACCCTTTATTAAACTCTTGAAAATTCACACCGCGATTTGACGCTAATACACTACTTCTCACTTGGATGGTAGCTCAAATCACAAAAACTGAAATAGCGGAACTAAACTAAAAATTCGAAGATAGTCAGAAGTAGTAGAAATTAAGCTACAGGGCTCAGAAACTCCTGTTTGCTAAAACCGCTCAGATGCTTTTGTTACATAAAACCACGACGAAAATCTAGTGGCAGCAAAGTAAAAGCTGTATCCCATGTAAACCAGCAATAACTGCAAAACTGGAAGCTTGCAACAGAGATGATGATGGCAACAGCCTAAACTCTAACTTTCCTTCTAAAACTCGGTATTTAAACCTTTTCTCTTCAAGGTAGAATTTACATTCCTTTACATGCGCTACCAAATTTAATATTCTGTCATTGACAATTAGGGGAATGAAGGCTTATAGGAAAAAATGTAAAATTAAATAAAATGTGTTATTTAAAATAAATATAAAACCCTAGAAGGCATTTAGTTCCATAAATTTGTATTTGTAAAATAAATAAATGAAAAGCTAAAAGATTCTTTACTTTGTAATGAAGAGTATAATACATATACGAAGATGGAATGAAGCAGTTACTATCTCTTTATGTAGAAATGACTTTTTTTTTATTATACATCAAGTTCTAAATTCTAACAAGCTGTATTTCTTAATCTGTTATTTTAGCACAGAATTGTGGTTGTCTTATTTCCATAAACTAACAGTAATTTTTATGAAATAGCAGTCATTACTAGTTTCCCTTAGTAAGTTCTCCCCTTAGAAAGGTAGCCATAATGTATATTGTGTCAGATTTTTTTTGTAATTGATAGCTGAGCTCAATCCAATCCAGTAGTACCTTGATGGGAAAGAGGAGGACGGGGACTTCTTGAGAACGATGAGGTCTACCAATGCCTGAGCTGCAAATTTGCTGAACATGGTAATTCCGTCTGAGGTTCAAATTCCTGCAAATGGGCTGGCTTAATGGGCTTTTCATGGGTTTCCTCATGTGTAACATGTACACAAGCTAGTTTCCCTTGAAATTTCACTTAAAATACTTAAATAATTAAATATAGAATATTTAAATGATTCAAATAACAAGACCAGTTGTAACTTCTGTTGTGTGTTCCGGATAATTTAGCTAAGTTAATAACCATAAAAATAAGGTACTATAGATATTCTGTGAGGTGAACGGGAATATCTAATTATCAAACAAACTGACACGGAATTAAAAGACTTCACGTTTATCCTACCTCAGTACTTGTGAATGATTAAACTAAAATATGGAAATATTTTTTGCAATTATCGTATTATTATGTGTATTAATTTACCAGCTAACCTGGACCTGGTTTCAAGATAAACTGTTTTTCACAGTTTCTATCAATTCAATAATTTTAATCTAATTTGGGTAGAGGCTGCAAGCTTTACCTAGATTGACAGAAATTCAACTGAATTGATTTACCATGTCTGCATTTAAACTTAGTTTACAATATTCAGAGCAAGATCAGCATTGGAGTCACGAACATGTATATATATATATATATATATATATATATATATATATATATATATATATTTTTAATCAGCAGATCAAACTCCCATTCTCTTATTCGTAAATCTCTACATAGTAAAACTGCTTGACTCTCAAATCTGCATAAATTCTGGAATGAGCAAACCTCATGGCAAAAAGAGATAGAGGGGAAAGAATATAATTGAATAAAAGTTCATTAGTAAAACTTAATTGCTGCAACATAACCCCTATTACAAATTACAGTTAGTGGTGGGTTTATGCTAATTCACAGCAATTTGGCAGAACTAGTTATTAGAATTAAATTGTAATATTTAAGCAATTTTTTACTATTTATTAACTAGTTTAATCATTTGTGTAGGCGGTGATTCAATCCTCAATTTTAAACTGCGCCCAGAGGTAAGACATCATGCCATTAAATTTATTGGCTGTACTGTAATTATTTCTTGTGTTGACAAGCAGTGTTTAATATTTTGTAGTGCTGATCTCTTTCGATGAAATTATTCCATAATTCAAACAAATAGTAATCCTAAATGCTTAGTTCTTCTTAGCAAACTTAGTTACCTTTACTAGGAATAGACTTGTGCAGTTGCAAATTGCACAATGTTGCTAGCAAATTTGTCTAAGTCATACTAAATTTTAAGGACCAGCTGAGAAGTCCAAGTTTATATTTGATAAATCTATGCTTCCTCTTAATTTTGCAACTTCTGAAATTTTAGTTTACTTTCCAGCAAGCGGCAAGTTGAATGTGGTAAAAGGAAATAAGGGTTTTTCTTAAGTTCAGAGCTTGAAAAGATAGTTTCTAAGTGGCACTCTACTGCGCTATCCGGCTATTTTGGCTAGTCTGGAAGCTTTGCTAATGAATTTAATTATGATTGAATAGCGAGAACTGTTGTTTTGCAGTGCTGCTAATGTTGCCAACAATGCCGCTTGGAATACTGACTTCATTTTTATTTAAATTTCATTTTAAGTAATATTTCTGTTAGAGAGTAATGTGCCGTGGATTTTGCTGAAGAGGATTAGACACGAACAAAAATTTATAAATTCTTTAAGACGACAGCGCATGACGGAGATGGTTATAACCTTGAAGAGATGAAATTCGGTGTTGGTATTTATTTCTGTTGCTTTTCGGAAGTGATCAAGTTGCAACAACGTTCATTGCAACTTGAATATTAAGACCAATGATATAATTTGAATACTGATGAGTATTACAATAATATGCTCTGATAAATTTATCAAAACTGGATAAAAAGGGGAAGTCAAAGTAGTCATACTGTAATAAATAATTTCTTTTAATCTGACGGATGACATAATAAATAATTAGTTAAAAACATTTTACCTGAAGAGAGCAGCACAAGGTCAGCAAAACAAATTAT